ACATTTTGGCTCAAATCATATTTAGAGGGAGTTTCTCAGCAAAGGGCAACAAACCTTCAGTTAGCCAGACTTCAGAGAACATGAATGAACCATGTCCCTTTAAGTGGTAACCTAGCAACTTGCTGAGGGGATTAGGATGCACTGACCTTTGGGAAGACAGGAGGATTCAAATCCCAGAAGTAGGTGCTCACTGTCCTCTGAACTCCTGGCTTATTATGGGCAATGACAGACCTTAAAGTCATTCCAAAGCTCAGATTCAATTCAAAAATAATAGTAAGGACCACACATTTTGAGTGCCTACTATGGGCCAAAGGAGCCATGGTGGCACAGTGGTTAAGCACTTGGCTGCTAACCAAAAGGTCAGTGGTTTGAACTCACCAGCTGCTCCACAGGAGAAAGATGTGGCAGTCTGCTTTCATAAAGATTACAGCTTTGGAAACCCTATGGGGCAGTTCTACTCTATCCTATGAGGTCTCTATGAGTTGGAATCAACATGATGGCAATGGGTACTATGTGTCAGGCATTAAATGATCTCGTTTAATCCTCACATGCCTGCTAGGTAGATATTATCTCCATTTGATGGGACACTAGTTAAGAGAGTTTAAGTGACTTGCCCAAGGACTAACAGCTAGTTAATGCCAAAGTTGAGATTTAACCAATGACTGAGAACCCACAGTTAGAGTCTTTCCACTATACTACATTACAGTTCTGATCTATAGCACATCCACCTTTGAAGACAGCTACAGGCTAACCTCAGGACATAAAGCACTGCTTAAAATTAAAAAGAAGTGTAGAAAAATGAAATAGAAGATACAAAAACAAGAGAGAGCGTCAACAAAAACAGAAGTTGGTCCTTTGAAGAGATTAACAAAATTGACAAACCTATAGTTAGACTGACTGAGAAAAAAGAGAAAAGACTCAAATTTCTAAAATCAGAAATGTGAGGACATTAACACTGACCTTATAGAAATACAAAGGATTATAAGAGGAATACTATGAATAACTGTATGCCAACAAATTAGATAACCTAAATGAAATGGACAAATTCCTGGAAACACACAACCACCACAACTAACTCAAGAAGAAATAGAAAATCTGAATAAACCTGTAACAAAGAGATTCAATCAGTAATCAAAAACTTCCCAACGAAGAAAAGCCCAGGACCAAATGGCTTCATTGATGAATTCTATCAAATATTTAAACAACAATTAACACCAATCCTTCTCAAAGTCTTCTAAAAAACAGAAGGGGAGGAACACTTCCTAACTCATTCTATGAAGCCAGCATTACCTTGATAACCAAAGCTTGACAAAAGGATCACAAGAAAGCTACACATCAATATCCTCATGAATATACATGTAAAAATCCTCAACAAAATACTAGCAACCCAAATCTAACATCATAGTAAAAGGGTTATATACCACAACCAAGTGGGATTTATTCCAGGGTGCAAAGGTGGTTGAACATACAAAAATCCATCAGTGTAATACACATTAATAGAATGAAGGAAAAAAAAAAAAAGATCATTTCAGCTGATGCAGAAAAAAGCAGTACACAAAATCCAACATCCATTCCTGATAAAAACACTAGGAAACCTAAGGATAGAAAGGAACTCCCTTAACCTGATAAAGAGCCTTTATGAAAACCCACAGCTAACATCACACTCTGTGGTGAAAAGACTGAAAGTTTTCCCCTTAAGATCGGGAACAATACAAGTGTGTCTGCTCTCATCACTTCTATTCAACATTGTACTGAAGTTCTAGCCAGAGCAACTAGGCAAGAAATAAAGGCATCTAAATCGGAAAAGAAGTAAAACTATCTCAAGTGGCAGATGACATGATCTTTTATGTAGAAAATCCTAAAGAATACACAAAAAAACTATTAGAGCTGATGAACGAATTCAGTAACGCTGTAAGATCAAGATCAATATACAAAAATCAGTTGAATTTCTACACATTAACAAGGTACAACCTAAAATTAACAAAGCAATTCCATATACAACAGTATCAGAAAGAACAAAACACTTAGGAATAAATTTAACCAAGGAGGTACCAGACTTGTACAGTGAAAACTACAAAACACTGCTGAAAGAAATTAAAGACATGCTGTGTTCATGGATTGGAAGACTCAGATTGTTAATATGGCAATAAATCCCAAACAATCTATAGCTTCAATGACATCCCTATCAAAATCCCAAAGGCCTTTCTTCCAGAAATGGAAAATCTGACCCTAAAATTCATATGGAATTTCAAGGGACCCTAAGTAGCCAAAACAATCTTAAAAAAGAACAAAGTGGGAGGACTTACATTTCCCTACATCAAATCTTATCACAAAGGTATGGTAACCAAAACAGTGTGGTACTGGCATAAGGATAAACATATAGATTAACGGAATAGAATTGAAAGGTCTGCCTTGAGCAATATGCTCTTTTAAGAACTATCTATGTGGGATCAAATTGACATCAGCAACTCTAAAGATTCGATAGGAACCTAGGGGGCAGTGAGTTTGTTAATGAGGGAGGAACAACTTAGAAAAGGAGGGTGAGAATGGTTGCACAACTCAAAGAATGTAATCAATGTCACTAAACTGTACATGCAGAAACTTGAATTGGTGTATGTTTTGCTGTGTATTTTCTCAATAACGACAACAAAATAAATAAAATCTAGAAAAGGAAGAAAAACAGTTAGCATTAAAAAATTATTAGAAGAAAACATAGGTGTAAATCTTCCACACCCTGGATTTTGCAATGGCTTCTTAGGAATGATACCAAAAGCATAAGCAACAAAAGAAAAAACAGCTAAACTGGACTTCATCAACATTAACTTTTGTGCATCAAAGAACACTATCAAGGGAGCGAAAAGAAAATCCACAGAATGGGAGAAAATATTTGCAAATCATATATCTGATAAGGGCCTAGTTACTAGCAACCAGAGTATCTAAAAAACTCTTACAATTCAACAACAAAAGACAATCCAATTAAAAAATGGGCAAAAAATATGAATAGACATTTCTCCAACTAGATATATAAATGACCAACAAGCACATAAAAAAATGTTCAACATCATTAGTCATTAGGGAAATGGAAATCAAAACCACAATGAGGTTGCACTTCACACCCACTAGGATGGCTACAACTAAAAAAACAAAAAGAGAAAATAACAAGTGATGGCAAGGATGTAGAGAAATTGGAACCCTTATACGTTGCTGGCGGGAAATGTAAAATGGTACAGCTACTGTGGAAAATAGTTTGGTGGTTTCTCAAAAAAGTTAAAGATAGAATTCCCATAGGACCCAGCAATTCCATTCGTAGTTTATATACGAAAGAATTGAAAGCAGCTGTTCAAACAAAAACCTGTATACAAATGTTCACAGCAGCACCCATTCACAATAGCAAAAGGTGGAAGCAGCCCAAATGTACATCAACTGATGAATGGATAAACAAAATGTAGTATATTTTGTTTGTGGTATATCCTGTTGTTGCTGTTAGGTGTTGTCGAGTTAGTTCCAACTCATAGCTACCCTATGTACAACAGAACAAAACACTGCCCAGTCCTGCATCATCCTCACAATCGTTGCTATCTCTGAGCCCATTGTTGCAGCCACTGTGTCAATCCATCTCGTTCAGGGTCTTCCTCTTCTTTTCTGACCTCCTACCTTACCAAGCATGATGTCCTGCTTCAGGAACTGGTCCCTCCTGATAACCTGTCCAAATTGTAAGAGACAAAGTCTTGTCATCCTCACTTCCAAGGAGCACTCTTGCTGTACTTCTTCCAAGACTGACTTTTTTGTTCTTCTGGCAGTCCACGGTATATTCAATATTCTTCGCCAACACCATAATTCAAAGACATCAGTTCTTCTTCGGTCTTCCTTGTTATCCTGCTTTCTCATTTGTATGAGGCAACCAGAAATACAATGGCCTAGGTCAGGCGCACCTTAGTCCTCAAAGCGACATCTTTGCTTTTCAACACTTTAAAGAGGTCTTTTGCAGCAGATTTGCCCAATGCAATACATCATTTCATTTTTTGAATGCTGCTTCATGGGCATTGATTGTGGATCCAAGTAGAATGAAATCCTGGACAATTTCAATATTTTCTCTATTTATCATGATGCTGCTTACTGGTCCAGCTATGAGGATTTTTGTTTTCTTCATGAAGAACTACTGGTATTATAGGAAGAAGTCCAAGCTGCACTGACGGCACTGGCAAAAAACAAGGCTCCAGGAACTGACAGAATACCAACTAAAATGTTTCGATAAACGGATGCAGCACTGGAGGTGCTCACTCATCTATGCCAAAAAATTTGGAAGACAGCTACCTGGTCAACCAACTGGAAGAGATCCATATTTGTGCCCATTCCAAAGAAAGGTGATCAAACAGAATGTGGAAACTGTGGTATACACAATCGAGTATTATTCAGCCATAAAAAGAAATGAAGTACTAATACTTCTACGACATGGATGAACCTTGAAAACATTATGCTAAGTCAAAGAAGCCAGACATAAAAGGTCACATATTGTACAATTCCATTTATATGAAACATCCAGAATAGGTAAATTCATAGAGACAGAAATTAGATTAGTGGTTTCCAGGGACTAGGTACGGGGGAGAATGGGAGTTACGCTTAAGGGATACTCAGTTTCTATTTGGCGTGATGAAAAGCTTTTTGGAAATAGCTGTGATGGGTGCACAACCTTGTGAATATACTAAACATCAAAGAATTGCGCATTTTACAATGGTTAAAATGGTAAATTTTGTTACATATATTTTACCACAATAAAAAAGTAATAAATGCATGTACACATAATTTTGAAAAAATAATTAAATAGGAAAAACATATGGAGAAGACAATTTAAGAAATTATACTTATTTCAAGTATAACAAAGCAAAAGATTTTTCTCATTGTCATGGCTCTTTTCCTGTCTGTATGTGATATCAGATTCTGCAAGACAAGGCTCTGAGGGCACATCCAGTCCTGCTCTCTGGGGAGAAGGTCATACCTACCTCCAATTACTCGAATATTACTGTCCTTTGTCAGAATAGCCTCAGCATGGAATACCAAAACTGGAATTCTCCTGCAGCCTCCAGTCCACGTAATACATGGATGATCCCTATAACCGTAACAAAAAGCTTCATTAATTTACAGCTCAAAATCTGAATTAACTGCTGAAGCTGATCACTATGGTTTTCTAGTTTCCCTCTCCTTCTGGAACAAGAACCCCAAATGTCCTGTAGAAAACCACTCATCTCCCATTCTTTGTGGTTTGCCTAAGATGAACTCCATTCCTGCTCCAGGGATGGGACTTGATTGGCTTCAGCCAATCAGGGCATTCTATCACCCAGTATAGTGACTGGTTCAAGGGTGGACATATAACCCAACTGGAGCCAATGAATGTGAAGTGACATCATGAGACCTGTGAGAAAGCGATGCTTTCCTTCTCCTCGTGGCAACTACAGGAGATGGCCTCTTTTCCCCTGGACGGTGTAGAATGACAGGTCTGGAACTGCCACAGCCCTTTTGTGACCTTAAGTGGAGAGCCTGGGGCTGTTGGTAAAGGAGGAAGTCAGTGGGAGCCTGACTGAAGGATGGAGAGAAATGAGACCCTGGGTGACAAACTCTGAGTTGCAAAATCAAGCCTTGCCTAAGTATAAGAGTTAATGTTCTTGTTGTTGTTAGGTGCCGTCAAGTGGGTTCCAACTCATAGAGACCTTATGTACCACAGAACGAAACACTGCACGGTCCTGCACCATGCTCACAATCGTTGTTATGCTTGAGCCCATTGTTTCAGCCACTGTCTCAATCCATCTTGTTGAGGGTCTTCCTCTTTTTTGCTGACCCTGTACTTTACCCAGCATGACATCCTTCTCCAGGGACTGATCCCTCCGGACAACACGTGCAGAGTATGTAAGACGTAGTCTTGCCATCCTTCCTCCTAAGGAGCATTCTGGTTGTACTTCTTCCAAGACAGATTTGTTCGTTTGTTTGGCCGTCCATGGTATATTCAATATTCTTTGCCAACACCACAATTCAAAGGCATCAATTCTTCTTTGGTCTTCCTTATTCATTGTCCAGCTTTCGCATGCACATGATGCAACTGAAAATACCACGGCTTGGGTCTGGTGCACCTTAGTCTTCAAGGTGACATCTTTGCTTTCCAGCACTTTAAAGAGGTCTTTTGCAGCAGATTTGCCCAACACAATGCGTCTTTTGATTTCCTGACTGCTGCTTCCATGGACATTGATTGTGAATCCAAGTAAAATGAAATCCTTGACAACTTCAATCTTTTCTCCGTTTATCATGATGTTGCTCATTGGTCCTGTTGTGAGGATTTTTGTTTTCTTTATGTTGGGGTGTAATCCATATGAGTTAATAAATCCCCCTTATTATTTAGGACAATCTGAGTTATGTTTTAGTCCCTTGCATCATAAGGAATCCTAAATTAAATATTTACAATAATTTATACGCCCCCTTTAGGACCTATAGGAATTGATGCATTTGAATTAATGGTATTGGTGAAGAATATTGAATATAACATGAACTTCCAGAAGAACGAACAAATCTATCTTGAAGGAAGTAGAGCCAGAATGCTCCTTAGAAGCAAGGATGGTGAGACTTTGTCTCACTTACTTTGGCCATGTTATCAGTAGGGACAACAGAGATTGCTCTGGAGAAGGACATCATGCTTGGTAAAGTAGAGGACTAGCGAAAAACAGGAAGACCCTCAATGAGATGGATTGATGCAGTGGTTGCAACAATGGGCTCAAACACAGCAATGACTGTGAGGATGGCACAGGACCGGGCAACATTTCCTTCTACTATACACGGGGTGGCTTTGAGTTGGAGCCAACTCGATGGCACCTAACAACAACAGACCATATCAAGTCCTTTTTCAAGTCAATTTGATGCCTCATCCTAAGATTTTGAGCCAGGAACCCTAAATTAATAAAAGTACTTCAATTAAAACTACATATTTTAAAGAAAGTCTACAGTAAAAGGAACAAGGTACATTTTCTTCCAGTATAAATTTATAGGGCTGAAAGGAACTCCTGACTTTATTCTCTGCCCCTGTCCTCAGGAACTCTCACCTTAAACTTAGATGGATATTTACTCACAGATTAGGAATATCTTCAAGCTCCTTAGGGCAGGGAGGTAGAAAGGGAAAGAAAATGACATGAATTGAGCCGCTAATATATGCCAAGAATTAAGAGCTTTCACATGTTACCTCACTTAATCTTCTTGACACTAGGAACTGAAGAAACGGCATCACAGAGAAGTTAAGTAACTTACTCAAGGTCACACAGCTGGCTAAGGAAGGGAACTAGGATTTGAAACTCAGTGTCTGTGCTCTTTCCACACTTTGCCTCCCTAATCACATTTCAGTGATATTCTGTATATTGAACACCTTGAACTCAACCCTTCCAGAACTTAAACTAATTAACCCCTTAAATGGAATAAGACCCATTTAGCCAAGATTCACATTGCTTTTACAAACTCACTGACCACACCCATTAACAAAGGCCATACCACAAATCTCAGGGCCAACTCAGACACTCCCAACCCAAGATAAAAAAAGATTTACACTTTGAATGCACAGGCTGCCAGGCTACCAACTGTAGAAGTAAGGCACCATTTAGACTTAGGATGAGCTGCCAACAACCTTTTCGTGAGAAAAGCAATGTGGGCACCATTCCTAGTTCAGTTTCTATTTTCTAAAAATAGAATGTGGATGCTTATTGTTCGTGCTCTTTAACTTGAGTCTAGTGCCCATTTGTGAGCAATTGTGTTTATAGGGTGCATTTTTTAGCAAGAAGTTTTGGTGGTTTGTTTTTTAATCCTAAACACCTGTAAAATGTGGGCATTGGGCCAGATGATTCCTACGATCTCTTCCAACTTTAATTTTTCCACTATATTTGTAAGCCAGAGGAGAGAAAAAATAAGCAGCCAAAACTACAAAGTCTTGGATGCAAACTTTGGAGCCTATCCAGATCCTTGTCGATCTAGCACTAGCTACAAACTGGCACCACTGTGCCATAAGAGCACTTGCAAACAATGGATTACTGCTACAAGTTAAAAATGCCTGACAAGAATTAGGAACACAATTAGCAGATACACAACTGAGAAGAGCAAAGGCTCTTAATACCTGAAGAAAGTCAAATCCCTGACAGAGAAATCTTTTTACTTATAACCTATCAGAAAGTATGCTGTTGTTGGGTGTTGTCGAGTTAGTTCCAACTCATAGCATCCCCACGTAACAGAGCAGAACTGCCCCATAGGGTTCGCTAGGCTGTAATCTTTATTGGAGCAGATCGCCAGGTTTTTCTCCCACAGAGCCACTGGGTGGGTTTAAACTGCCAGCCTTTCCGTTTGCAGCCAAGCACTTAACTATTGTGCCACCAGGGCTCCTTGTGAAAAAATAAGTGAGGGAGTAAATTATTAATTCAGTAAGGACAACTAAAAAAACTTAAGGCAGATGTTAAATTGTGATTATAAACATGCTCCCACCAGGTGGTGCTAAAGGGAAAAGGTTCAACTGAAACTGATAATTGGAACTTTAAATTTTCATTCACACCAGAAGCTGGTATATATTAAGAAAAATCGACATTTTTAGGCATGAAAGAACAAAGGGTTTGATTGATTAATGACAGAAGTAAACCAGTTGTATAGTGTACTTTACCGAAAGCCTAAGAACTTCAGTTTTTAAGAAGCAATATCATGAGGAATATATATTACTCACTCCTGGGCTCCAGCCTACATAACTCAAAGATGAAGATGTAAAGCAACTTTTGCATTCCTGCTTCTATGTGTTTATTCATACCATTTCCCCTGTTATAAATGCTTTCCTCACTTCTGTTTTTTTTAAATCCCACCCTTCAAGGCCCAGCTCAAGTCTCACCACCTCCATGGAGCCTTCCCCAGTGCCTTGGCTCACAGTGCTTCCTTTCTTCTCTGAACTACTGTAGCACTCACTGTATAATCACTTGTTCACAATCTTTTTAACTGATATAAAGCCAGATTTTATGATAGAAATTAAAGTTACTACTTTTTCAGTGACTAAAGAAAGCCTGTATCAAATGTTTACATGAAAGTTTCCACATCTACATATAGATTTGTATTTAAGATCCCCAAGCAAAATACACAAAAAATGGTTCCTTTACCTTTACTATTTGAAACAATGCCATGCAAAATAGGACTGCTCAGTTTCTAGCCTTAAAGTTCATGACTGCAAAGCATCAATACTTTAATACAGTCCAGCTGAGCAGAACGAACAGATGTCTGTGGATATACATCTTTGAAACAAATCACCATCCTAAGATGATTTAGGGCCTTCTAAATCCTATGGGGAGTCCTGTGCAGTAGTTAAGCATTCAGCTGCTAACCAAAAGGTCAACAGTCTGAATCCATCAGCCGCTCCTTGGAAACCCTATGAGGCAGTTCAACTCTGTCCTATAGGGTCACTATGAGTCGGAATTGACTCGACAGCAACAGGTCTGGTTTTTTTTGTTGTTGTTGTTTTTGTTGTAAACCCTATAGGGGCAGTTCTACTCTGTCCTATAGGGTCGCTATGGGTTGGAATTGGCTTAACTGTAACAGGTTTGGTTTTAGTTTTGGAACTTCTAACTGAAAAATTGATAATGTGAATTATGATGTTGGTGAAGAATATTGAATATACCACGGACTGCCAGAATGAACAAATCTGTCTTGGACGAAGTACAGCCAAAACGCTCCTTACAAGCGAGGATGGCAAGAGTTTGTCTCACATACTTTGGACATGTTATCAGGAAGGACCAGTCCCTGGAGAAGCAGAAGGTCAGCGAAAAAGAGGAAGACCTTCAACAAGATGGATTGACACAGTGGCTGCAACAAAGGACTCAAACACAGCAATGATTGTGAAGATGGGGCAGGACCAGGTAGTGTTTTGTTCTGTTATACACAGGGTCACTATGAGTTGGAACCATTTCAATGGCATCTAATAACAACAACTTCTAAAACTTATCAAATGTTAGCCTACTGCTCCAGATGTAAACAAAATTGACTTAGGATTCCTAGTATTTAAAACAAGGGTCATATAGCAAAGATGTCACCTTGAAGACTAAGGTGCACCTGACCCAAGCCATGGTGTTTTCAATCACCTCATACGCATGTGAAAGCTGGACAATGAATAAGGAAGACCATAGAAGAATCAATGCCTTTGAATTATGGTGTTGGTGAAGAATATCGAATACACCGTGGACTGTCAAAAGAACAAACAAATCTGTCTTGGAAGAAGTATAGTTAGAATGCTCCTTAGAAGCAAGGATGGCAAGACTTCGTCTCACATACTTTAGACATGTTATCAGGAGGCATCAGTCCCTGGAGGACATCATGCTTAGTAAAGCAGAGGGTCGGCGAAAAAGAGGAAGACCCTCAATGAGATGGACTGACACAGTGGCTGAAACAATGGACTCAAGCATAACAGTTGTGAGGATGGCGCAGGACTGGGCGGTGTTTCTTTCTGTTGTACACATAGGGTCACTATGAGTTGGAACTGATTCAACGGCACCTAACAACAACATAGACAAGACATGAGCTAACAGCATAATAACCGATAGTCAAAAATCAACTGTAGGCAACTGGAAAAGTTAGATGAGAAACTTAGGGGGCAGTGAGTCTATGTTAATGGGGAAGGAACAATTCAGAAAAGAAGGGTGAGAATGGTTGCACAACTTGAAGAATGTAATCAATGTCACTGAATTGTACATGCAGAAATGGTTGAATTGGTGTATGTTCTGTGCATATTTTCAACAACAAAAAAATAATTTAAAAAAAAATATCAACAGTAGGAGTTTGAAAAGAAGAGCAAAGGTCCCAGAGTTTGGGTAGGTGAGAAATAACACCTTTATTTTCACTAACTTCCACTAGAAATTTAGGATTTCTCAACTCTGAATGTAGGCAACAAACTACAGTAGTATTAGCATTTTTTTGCCTTTGAATCTATCTGCAATTACAGATATTTTTATATCATATTACAGTTGTTGCAGAAATCTCAACATATTATTCATATTTATCATTACTTCTAATTTATGTTAGTTATTAGACTCCCTACCGGACCACATGTAATCACCGTCTTCCTGTCTACACTCGTGTGATAAGGCTGCACAGTGACTGGGCAACATTCCCCCTGATAATAATTCAGCCACTAAATGGTAACATCTCACTTTAGTGGCCCAGACGTCTATGCTGCTTCCCACTATTCCCTACCTATAACTGTCAATCAAGGACCACCCCACAGATTAATGATCTTATGCAAACTAAGCAAAAACAGCCTTCAAGCTGCTGTCTTTAGAAAATAAAATGTAATTTTCCCATATTTTAAATCAATGATCTTGCTATTTAATAGATTAATAAAAAAGCACGTACTACCTGTATCACTAATTGATTTTAAAAAATATTTTGATAACTGCATTTAAATATAATTAGTATTCTTTGTAATGATATATACTTTAAGCACTTAAAAACATTACTCTGTTTCCAAGGGATCCATGGCATAAAAAAGGTTAAGATTCCCTGATCTAAGGTGATCTGAGGCATAAAGCCTTCATTTAGTCATTCAGTCAGTCAAGTATCTACTATAGTATTAGGTTGAACCATTTGAAATTGCCAATATTTGAGTGTTTTTCCATACCAAAACGGCAACTTTACGTAGTTCAACCTAATGCTTGTCAGGCCCAACCTCTAAGCCCACTAATAAGAGAGATGGTCAGGGAGTTAAAAAAAAGAAAAAAAGATCTTGAAAATGGAAAAACTGATACTTGCAGAAGAAGTTAAAAGTTTCATGAAATGAGTTAACAGGCAGCACACAGCAAGAAAAAAGTCACAAAAAGGCAAAGGGCCCAGAGAGAATTATCCATTTAATTATCTTGAATGGGAATGAGCCAAATATAGTGTCAAATCTCTTATTATTTTCTATGTCCTAACAAGGAAGAGAAGTCCTTCCTAAAAGCTTTAGTAATGCTTCAATAATTTTTTTTCCAAATTACAGTAAATAATTGATCTTCAACCTTGTAATAAGAAGTCTACCTGCAATTCAATACTGAAACCACTAAGAAGAATAATGCCTTATATTTGTATGGTACTTCATAATTAAAGTGATTCCATACAAATTAATCCATTTGATCCTAACCACACCCCTGCAAAATAGCTTGAGAAATATTACCTCTATTTACAAGTTACACAGCACACAACATATCCAAGAGGACTCAGAGAGAATCTTAAAAACTAATCTTAACTTTAAGCCGGAATCTCTGCTTAGTCTCAGTGACAAGTAATAATGTTAAGGGAGGCAAAATAACAAAATGCTTCAAAATCAAAAACTAGGTCTGACTCTCAATCTGTCACTTACTTTCTATGTATCCCTGAGAAGTTTCTTGATATTTGTGATGCTGAACTTAATAAAGTGGGAATATTACCTGTTCAATTAAACGAGATACATTATTTAAAGCCCTTACCCTCTATAACAACTGTATTTATCACTATAATTCATTTTTATTATGAGGATCCAAAAATCAAGAAATTGGACTTTTACCTAAAAGAATTCAAGAAAACAATGAGATTCAATAAACACAGCACAGGCAATAGGATCATAACGTCCTGCCCCACAGTTGCCCTGGTTAAATCACCTGACCTCTCTATATAACCATCATTCTATCATTGTGAAGGCTTTCGAAAAAATTAGCGTAAAATAACCTATGTCACAGAGTTTGGAGACCTACTTTTCTTCAAAATAAAAAAAATTTCTAAATCTCCTATGTTGGGAGCTTTGATCAAGAGTTCAACAAGAGCTACTATCTGTATTTTACATCAATTTATAAGGTCCCTAGGTGGCAAAAACGGTTTGCACTCAACTGCTAACCTAAAGGTTGGCAGTTTGAATCCATCCAGCCATACCCTGGAAGGAAAGGCCTGGTGATCTGCTTCCATAAGGATTATAGCCAAAAAAACGCTATGGAGCAGCTCTACTCTGTAACACATGGGGTCACCATGAGTTGGAATTGACTTCACAGCAACTAACAACGTAGCTGATGTTTACTCATGAGCCCAGAAACACAGTCTTATCTCACTTCTGATAGCTGACAGAGAACGAATAAGATCTTGAATTAGAACATGGAAAGAAGGTAAAACCAGAGCCAAACAATACCAAAAGAAGAATACTGGATAGAAGAATATTTGAGGAAAAGAAAACCATTTTCCATCCTAAAGGCAAACAAAGGGTCAAAAGCAAGCTTGCGATTACTTACTCTTGGCTTACCACCTCCTCATCCTCTGAGGATGATGCTGTTTCCTCCAGGTCCCGGGCCATCACTACTGGCATTTCCTTTGGGGTTTGTCATGCAGTCAGCAGACAGGGGCCTCAGAGACCTTTCCTTGCAGGTTCACTGGATCACACAATTTGGGTGGCACAGATTCCTGCAAGAAAGACAACTGACCTCAAACACAATGCAGTTGTTTATTTATTGATTATTGCTGATTATCTTCCAAGTAATGAAAATGAATCTATACCTAAATGGTGCCCAACCTTTAGAAGCTTAACTTCTATCACAGTGCCTCCCATATGCCACAAAAATCAAGACTTTTGCAAACAAACTGTCTGTGCTCTATGTATTTGAAAAGCTGTTACTAAGTTTAAGCTTCTTATTTTTTATTACATACTAAATCTAATATGCACCAAAAGGACTGACTTGCCTAACTTTTAGGGACGTTTGAGATAGGTGGTTAATTGCCTAAAATCTGACCTGTGTTAAAAATAAAAGCAACAGCTCAAAGTTTAAGATCCTTACAAATATTTCTTTAGACTCTATGACAAGCACACAATCAAACTGCCCTCATGCTTCCAGTAAAACAAATTCAGCAACTGAACCAAAAGATTAATATATCCTCCTCAATCAAGAGCCATATAAACAGCTGGGGGGGAGGAGGGGAGGTAGGAATAAAACCACTGCCCCTCCACTCATAAAAAACTAGAGTATATTTAAGTTAGGGTATTTCCAACACTTCATTTTTAAATTAATGTATTTTTCCAAAAGGAAAAATGTTCGTTATGGGGGGGGGGTGCTGCAGGAGGGAATAAAAATTCCAGATACAGAAAACGAAAATGTTTAAATGACGGTAATCCCATTACCCAGAGATAACCACTTGATGTCAACTTTGCCAAACCTGTTTTTCTCTACGGTCACGTAAACCATAAGATTGTAAATAGCGGGGGGTGGGGGGCGGGACCCGAGCCCGACAAAGGACCCTACGGATTTTCAGCGGAATGGGCAATAACAAACAACCCAAAGGCGTTCTTGGGAAAATTCCCGAGGGAATTTCTCGATCATTCCCAAAATGCTGGGAAGTCCAAGTTAAAACAAAACCTCCAAGCGAGAAAGGGCTGCCAACCTTTCCTCGACTGCAGGACGATCTGAAGAAGATTAAGGACCTTCGCCCAAGGAACGTCCGCGCCCTATAGGGATTAGCCTCTCAGTCTCAACCCGGCTCACCCTAATCCCAGGAAAGTTCGCAGGTGCTCCCGCCAGGAATGAAGGGGCGATTCCGCCGCAGCGATTCAGCCCGGCGCGCCCGGAAGCCAGCAGCTGCTCCCGGGCTCTGACAGGGAAGTGCAGCCGACGGCGCCCGCCAAGACCCGGGAGCGCACCTCCCTCGGGTAGGGGAGCGCGCCGGCGCAGGCGTTTACCTGGCTCATCTTCCCATGGCTCGGGGCGGGCAGGCGGGGATCGCGCTCTGCGCCTACCTCCCTCCTCCTTCCCCTGCCGGACTCACGGCCGCCGCAGACGGCTGCTTCCCCGGTTACTACAACAACCAACAAGCAACCGCCCGCTCGGAGCCACTGCGCAGGCGCCCGCCACCCGGCGCTGACAACGCTCCGCTTTGGTCGCAGACAAATGTCGTCACCGCCGCTCAGCGCGGTCGCAGAGCCCTGCCTTCAGCGGCGCAGGAGAGGGGTTTGGCTTCTTTTTTTCGCTTTCTTTTCCTCCGCCCCTACAGGGTTGGCTCCAGACCCTGAGTCCTTACGCCACTCTCAACAGGCGAATTCAATGCGTGAGCGGCGTACCCAGGTTAAGGCTCGGACAGCGGCAACCGCTGATTGGCAGTAAAGGGGGTTCACTCCCCATCTCCTGCTCGGCGCAGAGCTGGCACAGCCAATCAAAGCGAGAACTGATGGAAACGACCCAATCCGGGAGCCAGGCTGAGGGTGGGGGCGAGGACAAATGGCTCAGCTGGACTCCAGGCTGGAGCTGTCCTGGGGGATCTTCTTTGCTGCTGCTGCTGCTGCTGTTGCTGTCCTGGGAGTCCGGTCGCCAGGTAATGAGATTATGAATGAGAAGAAGGAGGATAAGGATGTAGGTGTCTGTGTGGCATCTGTTTGAAAGGATCCTGAGAGTCTGGAAAAATGGGGGTGGGATGGAAGGGAAGGTACCTGGAAGGCAACATTTTGCGGGGAAAAGAGCTCCAAAGACGATGGGAAGGGGGAGCTACGAGGCTGGAGAAGGCTTGGTAGGTTCAGAGGACGAATGAATGGATGAACGAATGAGCGGCCACAATGAGCTTAACACTTCGCAAGGAGCCTTCACTTTCTCATGTAATTCTCATAATAACCCTTGAGGTAGATATTCGTCTCTCCATTTTGCAAGTGAGGAAACTGAGGCTGAAGAGTGTAAATGACTTGCCCAGAGTCATACAGCTACTAAAAGGTAGGACCAAGATGGAACTCCTTGCTCCCGAATCTAAGTTTTAACACCATACCTTTGCTACGGCAGGGCAGAATTTGGGAATAGATGTTTGATAGTCTAGGAGGCCCTAAAGCTTTAGGGGCATGAGCTTGAGAGGTTGATGGATCAGTTCAGAAGTATGCCCAGGCTCTGCCCCCATCAGTTGTCTGTCAGGATTTCTAAGAGCTTCTGTCAAGTGGAAAGCATTAGTTGTGCTGAAAAGGGAGGCCTTCCATGCAGCTTTTTCTGACCTGGGGGGAGAGCAGCTGAGTCTTCTGAGGGAGAGTGGGAAAATAAGGAGAGTGGGGGGATCTTGGCCCAGGCTATCACTGCCTATGATGTCCAGTTGAGCCCTATTCTCTCTGGACTTGGACAAAGTCCACTCACTTTGTGATTCACTTTTCCCTGAGGGGTTCATCAGCTCCCCTTCCTCCTCTAGAACTTTTGTTTTTGTTTTTGTTTTTTACTGCTTCTTACTGTCTTGGTCCATTGCTGACTTTAATGTCTATCTCAGCTGGGTTGTATAAGACCATGCTGAGTGACAAAGGAAGCCTGATTATTACCACTTTAGGCCCAAGAAGTTAACCTGTCAACAGAGAAGCCTTAGACCAAAAAACATGCAAATGGGAAGAGACAGTTTCATTATTAGATTCTTCATCCCTATCGGTTTGATTTAAATTAAGGTACTTGAAATCAATACTCAACAAGAACTGATAGACGCTTTTTAAAAAAAAAAAGTATATAGCCTAATTGTATTTTCTATACAACCTGTAGAAGGATATGGATATGGTATGTTTGTCTTCCTCAAAAATGGGAACTTGATCAAAATATCCTCCAACAGTGAGACAGTATTGAAAAGTTGTTCTTAGGTGCCATCAAGTCAGTTCCAACTGATAGTGACCCTATGTACAACAGAATGAAATACTGCCCATTCTGGTGCCATCCTCAAAATCATTGCGATGTTTGAGCCCATCATTGCAGCCACTGGGTCAGTCCATCTTGTTGAGGGCTTTCTTCTTTTTTGCTAACCCTCTACTTTACCAAGCGTGATGTCCTTCTCCAGGGATTGATCCCTCCTGATAACATGTCCAAAGTACATGAGATGACGTCTTGCCATCCTCCCTTCTAACGAGCATTCTGGCTGTACTTCTTCCAACTCAGATTTGTTTGTTCTTTGGCAGTCCATGGTATATTCAGTGTTCTTCGCCAACACCACAGTTCAAAGGCGTCAATTCTTCTTTGGTCTTCCTTATTCATCATCCAGCTTTCACATGTGTATGAGGCGATTGAAAACACCATGACTTGGGTCAGGTGCACCATAGTCTTCAAGGTGACATCTTTGCTTTTTAACACTTGAAAGAGGTCTTTTGCAGCAGATTTGCCCAGTGCAATACATCATCATTTGATTTCTTGACTGCTGCTTCCTTGGGTGTTGATTGTGGATCCAAGTAAAATGAACGACTTGACAACTTCAATCTTTTCTCCGTTTATCATGATGTTACTTATTGGTCCAGTTGTGAGGATTTTTGTTTTCTTTATGTTGAAGTGTAATCCATACTGAAGGTTGTAGTCTTTGATCTTCATCAGTAAGTGCTTCAAGTCCTCTTCACATTCGGCAAGCATGGTTGTGTCATCTGCATATCACAGGTTGTTAATGAATCTTCCTCCAGTCCTAATGCCACGTTCTTCATATAGTCCAGCTTCTCGGATTATTTGCTTGGCATACAGATTGAATAAGTATGGTGAAAAAATACAACCCTGATACACACCTTTCCTGATTTTAAACTACTCAGTAACGCCTTGTTCTCTTCGAATGAGTGCCTCTTGGTCTGTGTACAGGTTCGTCATGAGCACAATTAAGCGTTCTGGAATTGCAAAGTAGAGCCTGACAAACCATAGTTTGTATCCCAGCTCTGTCATATATTTGCTGTGTGACCTCAGGCAAATCACTTAACTTCTATGTGCTAACCGCGATCTGTAAAGTGGAAATATTAATAACGCCTACCAACCTTGTTGTAAGGATTAAATGAGATAGATGTTAGGTGCTTGGCACAGTGCATGGCACATAGCAAGTGTCCAATAACTGTTAACCATTATAATTTCTCTTGCAGCCTGACATCAAGATTGCTGATTCCTTCTCCATAAAATTTTCTCCCTAGTTCTCAAGTTGCAGCAGTTTGTTTATTTTTACCTTTTAGACTGTTCTAGTTTATGGAACAGTGTACCTGAGAATCAGAGTGGAGAAAAACCTCAGGATGCAAATATTTACCTCACACCATAGGTTCCATTCAGATGTTGTATAGGCTTGGAAGGATCTGTCATCGATAGCCAGGCAGGTATCTGTTAGTAGATTTATGATCACCTTTGAGCTACTTACATTACAAAAGAAAGACATGAAAAAACAAGCTAAAAGCAAATCTGTAGGAGGACTGATTCCAGCCAAGACAAGGAGTTCTGATTTGGGGTACTATTTTGGAGAAATTGCTTATCCAGAGATAAGTACTGTACCATTTATTGCAAGTTAGACTGTTCATTCATCACTATTTGTATGACTAAATATTGAGACCAATTTCTATAATAAGCCTTACACAGAAATCTACCTTATTACTTTATAAGGACACTTATTCACCTCCTTTTCTTCTTTTCCCTTTCTTCTATTTTTTTCCCTTTAGTTTGTCATTTCCACCCACTGTATTATTTAGCCCTTATCACTTTGGGTAAAGGTCAGCGCACTTTGGTGTAGAATGAATATTCCAAGGCAGCATGCTGGCCCTGTGAAGTAAGAGTTGCTGGTTTAGAAACTAGGAGTGGATGAGCCTAAGGGACTTGGAGAGGAAGTTAAGTGATTGAACAACTGCGCTTAGTATAGCCCTCATGAGTGGGACACAGGTTAATCACGGGGCTGAGAGAGCTTATGGTTGAGTAGACTGACCTCGTTGTCTCATGTCCTCTGCCTCTGTTTTCAAGTCAGAAAGCCCTCTCAGAGTTGAGGAGAGTCATGAGCCGTTTCCTGAATGTGTTGCGAAGCTGGCTGGTTATGGTGGCCATCATAGCCATGGGGAACACGCTGCAGAGCTTCCGAGACCACACCTTTCTCTATGAAAAGCTCTACACTGGCAAGCCAGACCTCGGTAAGAAGTCAAAGAACTGCATCCTTTGCAGGAGTGGCCAAACCAGGCTGTATATCAGAATAACCTAGGAAACAAACAAAAAGCACAGGTGTCATTTCCCCCTCTAAATCTATTTACTGAACCCCTCACCCCGACTGGGGCCCAAGAATCTATTTTTAAAAATTTCCCGGGTGATTCTGATGCTGCCTAATCTAGCCTTTGGGAAACACTGGAGTAATAGACCTTGCGGATAGCACTTGACCCTTTTTCCCTAAGCTACTCTGATGCCTTTTCATTCAGTTTACACCACCCTGAGCAATTCGTCTGTACAAAAAGTATTATAAGAGCAAGTAAGGAAATATAGTTAATTGGTGACACTGTGGTACTTCACTAAACCAAAATACCAAACCAAACCGGTTGCCGTCGAATTGATTCTGACTCATAGTGACCCTATAGGACAGAGTAGTACTGCCCTGTAGGGTTTCCAAGGAGCGGCTGGTGGATTTGAACTGCCAGCCTTTTGGTTAGTAGCCAAGCTTTTAACCACTGTGCCACCAGGGCCCTGATACCTCACTGGAAAGCCGTAAAGAAGCTTTTCATATAATCTCTTCAGATAGCCCTCTTCAGAAATCAGGTTGTGGACACGTGGTGTATATTCCATGTTACAGATGGAGAGCTACTAATCCCAGGTCATCCCAAACTGTGACACACTCCATGAGAATATACTCAAAATCCCTGCTTCTAAGTTGATTCCCCCAAATGAAACTTCAGGAGAAGGTCCATGGTGGGCTTTGCTGGCTCCCTAGCCTCTCTGCTGAGGGTGTTTTCAGATTTAGCTAATGTGTGGGGTCGTTGGACCTGCAGCATAGTTTTCCAGCAGCTAACAATTCTATGTCACATATACAGCTAACCCAGATTCAGGCTCTGACCTGGCCCATTTTTCTGCAACATCTGGGTGTAAAATGGAACTAAATAGGCTAAGGCTTATTTTGAACAAAGCTCAAATACACTGTGGGTAGAGCACCTGGAAAAGTAGGCAGGACAATTCCATTTTCTCATCCTCAAAATGCTGCCCTAAAATCACTCAGGAGCTCTGTACAGATTCACAGAACGTTAGAGGCTCTTTGGAAATCCTCGTGGTGTATGGTAAGTGCTATGGCTGCTAACCAAAAGGTCAGCAGTTCGAATCCACCAGGCAGTCCTTGGAAACTCTATGGGGCAGTTCTGCTCTGTCCTATAGGGCCGCTATGAGTCTGAATCGACTTGACGGCAATGGGTTTTGGTCTAGCCTTGGGTTTTAAAGTTGAGACAGAAAGCCCAGAAGTCTCATGATTTGCTGAAAGGCACAGAGCTGAGCAGGTGTGCATCCCAGGAGTGGAGATGGCCTTCTCCCTCATGATCGAGTGGCTGTCGTGGTACTCAGCTGATCACAGCGGTGTTCTGGAGTATCTGTAGAATTTCAGCTGATGCACAATCTGGTTGTTGTTAGTTGCCGTCAAGTTGATTCCAACTCATGGCAACCCCATGCCTGCAGAGTAGAACTGCTTCATAGCATTTTCAAGGCTATGACCTTTTGAATGCAGATTGCCAGGCCTGTCTTCCAAGGCGCCTCTGGGTGGGAATCTGGTTAGGGTTGGTGAAATACACCACTTCGGTATCTCACTAACTAGAGAAATGTCCTGTCTTTTCATCAGAAAAGATAAATTGGTTTATAAAGAACGAGGCCCTCCAGGGATAACAGCTAGATATCTGCTTAGCATATGGAATTTTTCTCACCTTACTATCACCTAAAGGTCTTCAGGGTTGTGAGTTTGGCATAGCTATCTGGTTTTCCAAAGGTTGGCAAGTCCTTAAAGCCCAGGTAAATATTAGTAGACTTTTCAGTTCCAGTCTTGTCCCTGGAAGTTTCTCTTGCATGGGAGACCAGCAAAGGGAGGTATATTTGCTTTCATTGTTTTGGCATTCCTGAGCTGCTGGATGCCTTAGATCAATGGCTATACATTTAAATCACCCAGGCAGGGAATTTTAGAAAATATTTGTGCCCAGGGCCTACCTCAAAAGAGTATGATTTAATTGGTCTGATACCCAGGTCTTGGTAATTTTATAAAATTCCTTCAGTTTCTGATTCCAATATACAACCCAGGGTTAAGAACCACTGTTACGGTAGAATATGATCCATACCTTCAGGATAAGGTATTTAATACAGCAGTGTCAGAACCAACCCACCAAGAGCAAGGTGTCCCAGGCAGACACCAGAAAAACAGCGCTTTGTTCCACTGCCGTGTGCACAGGAAGCCAGTCTGGCTTAAGCTTTGTTCAAATCATGTAGATCTGGATTCAGGAGACTTAGATCTCTTAAAGGCCAGATGTGGGCATCTAGATTGGCCCCAGTATCTCTGAGTTCTTTCCCAGATCAGCCTTGAAAGTCTGCTCGCCTCCTAGGCATCTCGTATTGGCAGACCAGCCTCTGCACCATTCCCCGTAGACCGTCCTAAAGCAGACTCTGGGCTACACCAAAACCAGACTGGCTTCCAGCAGCAGAGGGGAAAAACTACTAAATCCAGGACTCTTTGTCTAAGTGGGCTGTTTGTTAGGTTTCTACTTTTAGAACTCTTTCCCTAACTGCAGATGTTTGAAGAGCAGCTGAGCGATTCTCATTCTGGAATTCCTTCCATTCCTTCTAGTTCCCATGTGCAGCACCAGAGCCTCCGAGCCACAGGGGGTTCAGGCCCAGCTCCCCACCAGCCATGACCACCAATGAAGTAGGAGGATCCTGGAGGGAACCCGAACCCTCCCCTTCTCATCACTTGCTTTTTCTGCTACACAGTGAATGGCCTCCAAGCTCGGACCTTTGGGATCTGGACACTGCTCTCATCAGTGATTCGCTGCCTCTGTGCCATCGACATCCACAACAAGACGTATGTAAGGGAAGGAAGAGCTTTAGCATTCTTTTTTTGGAAAGCAGGTGCTAGGCATACCCATGGCCCCATCCCCTTGGTGACCCATTAATCATTTTGAACATAGCCTAGAATGTGGATAATAGGAGGTTAATAAGTTCCACTTCTTCCAAGCCTAAAAGACATAATAGGCCTAACAGATCTTCTTTTAAAGTCTGAAGTGTCTTTGGAACTGACATAGCAAACTGGCAGTGTCATTATCCAGTGGCCTGACCATACCCCTATACCTCTTTACTAAAGAATCAGCCTTTATCCTACTAAAGAAGTAGAGTGGTATGCTCTTTGTAGAGCAGCCGCCCACACACCTTATTTTCTCACATTCCTCCTTAGGAAGCAGGAATGAACAGAAATTATGATCCATGGAAAAGAGAGGCCCACAAGTAAAGTCTTGTATGCTCATGCAGAATCGGTAGCTGGGGATGAAAGAGAACCCAGGGCTTCTGTATTCTACCCTCTCTAGGGTACTCACTCAGACTAGTGCAGAACAGTTACAAGCAGTCATAGGCTCTGGTCTAGATAACGGTCTAGATACTGGCTCTGGCCACTGGAGGGAGCTCAAGCTTTCTTCATGACAGTTACCGTCACAAGGTTGAAACATTTGCTCAGGTCAGTGAGTGAGGCTATCAGAACACCAGCTTCACACTGAAATACATATGTTTTATCCAAGGTCTCAGCATCTGGGGAGGGGAGGAGGTAATAATATTTATGGAGCCCCTCTTATGCCGGGAGTTTCACCTACATGACCTTGATTAAGCCCTAGGAGGTAGTATTATCATTCCTCATTTTGCAAATACAAATACTAGAGACCCAATTAATTTAAACTGAGGAAGACTGACTCAAGTGGGATTTGAGGCAGGACCATTGGGCCTGCGATCTCTCCAACTTTATTTTAAAGTGTTTTTTTCTTTGAACTTGAAACTGGTTTACTTGTCCTAGATTGACATGTATTTTTGGAAGCCATGTGGTTTCATGGAAACAGCCTGGGAGCAAGAATGAAAACAAGAAAATGGGTTCTAGTCTCAGTTCTATTGGTAACTAGTTTTGTGGCAGCAAATTTGTTATTTGCCTTTCCTACACCTATCGTTTCTTCATCTATAAAATGAGACTAGTATATCCATTCTACCTCTCAGGGTGACTGGAAGGGAGGGGCACTGAATGGTCATTTTAAAGGTCTTTGCTGTGACGAAGAATTGCTGATAGGTGTAAGGGCTGTATCTTGTTTGTTGTGATTTTGGAGTGAGCAACGACAACTCAGACATATCTGTACCCCTATTACGCATTCACTTTTCCCCTCTCCCAAGACAGCTGCAAACGCTGACTTCCGTGTTTCCAGCTCTCTGCTACCCTAGGACTTTGATCTGTGTACTTCTGATGTGCACTCTGATCCTGTTCCCTCCCTAACTGGAAACTCAAAATCAACACCCATGCATACAGATTTACCAAGTATATGAAAACACGCACCCAACCCCTGGCCATCGAGTCGATTCCGACTCATAGCGGCCCTATGGGACAATAGAACTGCCCCATAGGGTTTCCTAGGCAGTGATCTTTACAGAAGCAGATTGCCACATCTTTCTCCCATGAGCAACTGGTGAGTTTGAACCGTTGACCTTTTGGTTAGCAGCTGAACGCCTAACCAGTGTGCCGCCAGGGCTCCTTGGAAACATACACAGGAATGACAAAAATCAAATTTAAGATATTGTTTACATCTGGGGAGGGGGAGAGGAGAATTGGATCAGGGTGGGGATACACAGGATGTTATAACTGTTCTTTGTATTTTATTTCTTAGAAAAATGTATCTGAAGCAAATATGGTCAAAATGTTAAGACATGGTGGAGCTGGGTATTGACTACATAGAGGTTCATTATATTATTCTGTTGCCTGTAAATTTTTGTATATTTGAAATGTTTCATAATTTGTAAAAAATACATAGTTCTAAAAAAAAAAAGATATCAGCAATCCAAGTGCTCGATCATCTTGTAGCCCATCTCTTGTCCACCTCACTGTCAAAGCTGAGGTACAGATTGTCTTCCCATGAAGTTGTCTCCACGTCCTCCATCTGACCACCTTCCCAGACTAAGTCACAACATAACCAGGCGGTATTGTTGCAAGAGCATCTAAAAGCCCCAGAAGTTCCTTGCTGCTCTGTCCCCATTCAGGCCCTTCGTTCTATGACATCCGTCATACAAGCACTGAGAAGCCAACAGCCAAGCACCGGCCAGGTGGGCTTTGGCTGCAGAGTCAGCCAGTTTGGAAAAGAAGCAAATGTAAGCATGATCGATCCAAAATTGTCCACTCCCCCTGAGATTGCCATAATCCAGACTCTGCTGTGCTATAGCTGGGCTCTCCACCTTGCTCATACTTGGAGATCTACCCTGGATGCCTGGGTCATCCTCTCGGTTTAGCAGACTGAAACCTTCAATTTTGCCCTGTTGTTGTTAGCTGCCAGTTGAGTCGATTCCAACTCATGGCAACCCCACGTATGCAGAGTGGAACTGCACCATAGAGTTTTCAAGGCTGTGGCCTTTCGGAAGCAGATCACCAGACCTGCCTTCTGAGGTGCCTCTGGGTAGGTTGGAACTGCCAACCTTTTGACTAGTAGTCAAGTGCTTAATGGTTTCCCCCACCCAGGGACTCCTCAGTCTTGCTCTAGATGGGAATAGATACGATCAAATAACCAGGTCTTTCTCAGGAACAAGTCTCCTTTTTCTTTGGGACTTATTTGTATCAAGTCTGATGGACACTTTTCCTGTTCTGTGCTGCACAAGGCAGAACTTCAGCTCCCATTTCTGTCTGCTCCCTTGTAGGCTCTACCACATCACACTCTGGACCTTCCTTCTCGCCCTGGGGCATTTCCTCTCTGAGCTGTTTGTATATGGGACAGCAGCTCCCACGGTTGGCGTCCTGGCACCCCTGATGGTGGCAAGTAAGCACCCACCCACCCTACCCCACCCACAGGAACTCCCAGCACTAGGGCTGGTGCTGGAGAGTGGCTGTGCAAGAAAGAGAAGAAAGGTGCCATGTTGATGTCGACCACTAACCTTTGCTCTGTATTTAAGGTTTCTCTGTCCTGGGCATGCTGGTTGGGCTCCAGTACCTGGAAGCAGAACCAGTATCGAGACAGAAGAAGAGAAATTGAGGCCAATACCACCACCTCCGCGACTTCATCGTCTTCCACCTTTTGCTGTCCTCTTCCTTTATTTTCTTTGCTCTTCAATTTTTTCTTTTCTGATCCATTAGCCTGTTTATCCACTTCTAGCCTTTTAAGTTTTTTTCTACATTTTGAAAAATTTTAAGATATAACATACACACAAAAAAAGTGCATAACATGTATGTACAATTCAAAGAAAAATTTTAAAGTGAACCCTGTAACTCCAGGTCAGGAAATTGCCAGCATCTCAGAAGCCCACTGTGCAACCTTCCCCCACCCTTATAGTTGCAACCTCTTCCAGGCTCCCTTCCAGCCTTCTGCTTTTTCCCTTTCATTTTTGTCCCTTGATTTGCTTGGGTGGTGGGAACATGTGAATGGGGAAATTTAAAGCTGCTGCCTCTCCCAGAGCAGCTGCCACCAAGGGCTGCTTCAAGACGTCGTCCTCCCAGAGTGGGCTCCTCTCTGTGCTGGACTCAAGGCTCTGCCCCATCTGAGGGACAGGCAGCTCTTCTAAGAAGGGCTTCCCTGAGAGTAAGCAGGCCCATGGCTCTCCTTATCTACAGGTGGACCAGGGTCAGAAGACTCTGTTTTTAGACCTTCTGGTCAGCTGTATTTGTGTAACAAATTTTGTAATAAATAGAAAAACCCTCTGATCAGTCCTTGTACTTTCACCTCCCCTAAGAAGAGAGCACCGCTGCCTCCTCTGAGCCCTAGGAGACTCACAGCTTTCTACTGATTAAGTACACCAGAGTGAATAGAACAGCTCGAGACCCAGGCAGACCTGGCTGCCTCCAGCTCCTTATTGTCACTCGCTCATTTCTCTCGTATTCTTGAAGTCATATCTTTCTCCTCCCTGCCCACCTTCAAGACTCTAAGTTCACAACTGAACAGCTGGGACTTTTCACATTTTCTTCTTGGGAAGAAACAGATTCTTGTGAAAGCAGAGGCAGAGCACTGAACCAGGCAGGACAGAAGAAACAGCTACATGTCCATGAAAAGGGGATAACTAAGCCCCAAGGATAATGCATGAGTCAACAGTTGCCCTACAGACTCTACCCTGAGGGCCTTCACACTGGCTGAGCCCTCACACACAGCCTCTAGACTCAAGAGTTCATCACTGCCACAAATATTTACTGCACATTCACTCCATGTCAGACACTTGGGATAGAGGAGTGAATGACACAAGCAATGTCCCTGCTCCTGTGAACCTTACATTATAGTCAAGGAAACACAACCAATGAGTCACTACATGATAGAAGAACTTCAGATAGTGATGAGAACCCTAAAGAAAACAAGGTATTGTGATCAAGATGGGGGTACATAATTTAGGTTGAGTCATCAGGAAAGGCCCCACTGAGGAGGTGGAATGCGAGCCGAAACCTGAATGCCCAGGAGTCAGCTGTCCTAAGATACGAGGCAAGCACTTCAGGCAGAAGGAGCAGCAACTGGAAGGTCTTCAAGGAGCAGACATAAGATCAGTGTAACTGCATAGTGTGGTAAAGAGTTGGTAAATGAAAGGTAGGCGATAAGGTCAGAAAGGGAGGCAGGGACCATGTAAGGCCATGGAAGAAAGCTTGGAGTTTATACTTGAATGCATTGGGAATTCTGTATCAGTTAAGGCTTTTTAGATGAAAGGAACAAAATGTACCTTACACTTCCTTAAACAATGATAACATTGGCGTACGTAACTGTAAAGTTAAAAGGATCGTAGGCTTCAGGAATGGTTCGATCAGGGCTTCAGCTCCAATTCGCTGCCAGTTCTTTTGCCTCTGCCCTCCTCTCTCTGTTGGCTTCATCCTCGTACTGGCTTCCCTCATGGTGCTGAAAGCAGTTGCAGGAATTCCAGGCCTCACAGCCCCACAACGCTACATCTGGAAAAATAGTTCAGTGGTAGGAACTGTCTTTTCCTCATTCACCAATTATTGTAAGGAGACGCTAATAATAGCAATGATCTACAGAGAGTTAACATTTCAATGTAGATCCACCTGATGTCACTTAAGAAAAAAAGAGTAAATGAAAACATAAAATGATTTGAATGTTCTAAGCATATGTCATAGAAGTGTGATTGCAAATAAGTAAAGGCAAGATCTCAAAGGATAAAGTAGGTAAAATATGTAGCAGACACTTGAAATATTAGTTGTGTTCATAGCCCAGGCTTGGCTCCCTTCCCAGGTGACTTAAGGTGATTTAAAGTAGAAGCATAATGTCTCTCTCTCCAGCTAAGAATTGCTAGCAAATATGGTGCCAGCATACTACAGACATGGTGCATCTCTCTTGGGAGGAAATGTATAGAAAGCTGATAGCAGCAACACAACCAAGTAACAGCTATAAGGTGAACGTGATTGGGAAGGGAGGAGTGGCAGTAAGTAGGACAGACTGGAAGAAAAACAGTAAAACAGAAGTGCAGATGCTGGGCTCGAGCTATGGGACTTTGGCCAGACCAAGCTAGTGCGTGGCTGGTGTGATCGTAGAACAAACACTTCAGCCCACTCGTGAGGCAGAGTCAGAAACAACAGTGGGCTCTCGTCGGCAGTCACATGCTGGTAAACTATCCACATGTGTACGCAGTATGGAAACAGGTCAGGGCCACACGTTGGGCATGAAGTTGCAGTTCTCCATGTAGGCAGACTAACTTTCACAACCTTGTCTTTAAAAAAAATCACGCACCAGGGGACCACGGTCTCAGGAAACATCTAGCTCAACTGGCATAAAGAAAATGTTCTACATCCTACTTTGGTGAGTTGCATCTGGGGTCTTAAAAGCTGGTAAGCAGCCATCCAAGATACTCCACTAGTCTCATCCCATCTGGAGCAAGGGAGAATGAAGAAAACCAAAGACACAAGGGAAAGATTAGTCCAGAAGACTAATGGACACAACTACCACAGCCTCCACCAGACTCACTCCAGCACAAGTAGATGGTGCCTGGCTACCACCACTGACCACTCTGACAGGGATCACAATAGAGGGTCCTGGGCAGGGCTGGAGAAAAATGTAGAACAAAATTCTAACTCACACAAAAAAGACCAGATTTACTGAGCTGACAGAGACTGGAGAAACCCCAAGAGTATGGCCCCCTGACACCCTTATAGCTCAGTAATGAAGTCATTCCTGGGATTCACCTTTCAGCCAAAGATTAGACAGGCCCATAAAACAAAACAAGACTAAATAAATGGGCACACCAGCCCTGGGGCAAGGACAAGAAGGCAGGAGGGGACCCGAGAGCTGGTAATGGGGACCCCAAGGTTGAGAAGAGGAGACTGCTGGCATTTTGTGGGTTGGCAACCAATGGCAAAAAACAGTATGTGTATTAATTGTTTAATGAGAAACTAGTCTGCTCTGTAAACCTTCATCTAAAGTACAATTAAAAAATTAAAAGAGAAAAAAATCACCCACCTGGACAGTAACATCTATGTAAACAGAGAACCCTCTTCTATAGTAGGCCACAGGAGCTCCTCTTCTAGCCCTGGCCTCCCAGCCCTCCCTCCAACGCTTTCCCATACCTTAGTCCTGAGAAATGTGTGATAATCTCATGGGGACTATCAAAAGCCAACTCTGACCAAAGAGTGACAAGGCAGACCACTTCAAGAATCTTTTACTGCCTTAAAATGTCTGGCATTACAAACAGAAAATACAAATTACAATTTTAAAACAAAGCAATGGATTTGGTAAACAATTTATTAATAGATTTTAAGGGTTTGAAAAGTAAACACCATTGTCCTTATCAAAAAGTCACACCTCTCCACCTCTCTTCTACCCCTAACTCATTCCCCTCACCAAGAGTGTGAACTTTTACTACATACACTGAGTGTGTTCCCCTGGTTCTATATACATACACACAAATCTGGCTCTCCTCAGAGTCAGTGATTCAAGCACCCCAGCACTGCAGCCAACGTAGGATGCCCTGAGGGGCTGAGGCCACGGTAGTGGCTGCAGCAAGACAGCATAGTGGTCATGATGGCAGCTGTTCAAGGTAGTCACCTACCCTGTTATTCTCAGGAGAAATTACAGAAGCTCATGAGTAGAGCTGACAGCCTGCAAGGCAGGAAAAGAGGTCAGCTTGAGTTGGTTTACAGGGAATCCCTTTCAATTTAGAACGTCTGATGAAGACTGTTGGTAGGAGGGGGTGGGGAGAGGGTTGGGTGTGCAAATACTGTCGCCATCCAGAGGTGGGATATACTTAATTCAAGTAGGCTCACAATTCCCATGTCACAGGGTCACCTTTTCTACTCTGTTTTCCTCTCATCTCCCAGAAGCAGCTTTGGATTTCTCAGGGTACAATGAACCAAGATTAGTGTTCAGTAAAGGTTAGAGTAAATTGGCTGGGATTTCCCTCACTTAGGCTGAGGACCGAGTCTCCCAATGCAGTGGTCCAGATGAAGGTATCAGGGGTAACTATATGACACACAACAGAAGTCCCTGGGCAAGACTTCTTTGTAAAAAAGAATCTCCCCATTCCCAAATCAAGCCGCCAAAGTTCCCAGATATGGGATTCCACAAACATACTCAGACAGTAGCCCCAGCACCATCATACACCTAGGCACTTGTTAGTTGGCAATCGAGTCGATTCCAACTCATGGCGACCCCATGTGTGTAGAGTAGAACTGCTCCTTTGGGTTTTCAAGGCTGTGCCCTTTAAGAAGCAGACTGCCAAGTGTGTCTTCTGAGGTGCCTCTGGGTGGGTTTGAATTGCCAACCTTTTGGCTAATAGTCAAGCACTTAATCATCTGCACCACCTAGGGACTCCCCAGGCACTTAAACCAAACCAAAGCCAAACCGATTGCTGTTGAAGTTGATTCCGACTCATAACAACCCTATAGGACAAAGTAAAACTCCCTCATAGGGTTTCCAAGGAGCTCCTGGTGGATTCGAACTGCCGACCTTTCGGTTAGCAGCCACTGCGCCACCAGGGTTTCCTCCTAGGCACTTAGCCCTCCCAAATTCATTTCTCCTTCAAGGCCATATCAAAGTTTCATCAAGTTTATTGATGTTTGGTTTGATCAGCTCTTAGGAAAGAGGGTTTAGAAACAGACCTCAACATTAGGCCAGGAGAATCTAGGCCGAAGAGTTCCGAAAGAGTTGGTCTCATGGTGCTTTCCCTCCCACAGAACCTTAGGAGTCGGTCTGATGTACCAGGTATGACCTTCAGCCACAGCAGCTGCCACTCCTTAGAACTGGGCTTTCTGTGAGGGTCTTAAGACACTAGAAAAGGTTATATCCTGAATAAGCTTTCTTCCTGTGATAACTTTTCAGGCTTTCTCCATGAGGGATGGAGCTGAAGAGGGAAGGCAAGGGACCAAGTCAGGATTTTGACTCCAATATTCTCCACCAGCCTCTCCCAACACCAGTTCCCATAACTCAAAAGAAGGAAGGGGCAGGAACTAAATCTGCATTTGATGAAAGGGTGCAATTTTCCCAAACTAAACCATCCCAGCTCTTGAGGGGTTCCAGGAGGCATAGGCACCACTGTCCAAGCCACAAATATTCCAGCTGGTTCCCTCCAAAAGCTTCTCCAGTGAAGACCATGCGAGGCTGTGGTGTTCTTGGCGTTCCCTGAGTTGCCACTACCATGTTCTGTCAGAGACGCTCCTCAGATACGGTGGCTGGCACTTTGCTGGTATTGCTCTCCTCCTCCTCCTCCTCCTCCTCCTGGGGTTTCTACAAGGAAAAACAAGCAGGCACCCCTTAGAGTCAAGAGGCACAGGACTCCATCCTGGCTGGAGTAACTAGCCCTCAGTGTCTCTCAACAGTGGGAAATATGAGCCAGAGGCCACTCAGTATCCTCAAGAAGGAATGAAGAACACGAAAATAAGTAACCAGCCCCTGCTATAAATGCACTCCTCAAACACTACACACACAACATCACAATGTCATTAATGAAAAAAAAACAATAAAAGGCCAGCTTTCTGTGATGCCATTGTCACCACACAACATGCCAGTCTGAGAACCACTGCTGCAGGCTCACTCTCAGGACTGAAACAATAAAGCCCACTCTCCCTCCCCATTCTGACAGCCTAGAATTGGCCTGGGCTAATCATTCAATAGCTAAATCTGCACCTCCCTCAGAATTCCTCCATAATGATAATGTGCACAGATACAACAAAGAGAATTTTTTTAAGGAGAATGCATAATTACATGTTATGGATTGAATTGTGTCCCCCACCCCCCAAATATGTGTTATAAATCCTAACCTCTAGGCCTGTGGTTATAATCCCATTTAAGAATGGGTTGTCTTTGTTATGTTCATGAGCCAGGATTAGTGTAGGGTGTGTCTTAAATCAATGTCTTTTGAGACATAAAAGAGATTAAACAAGACAGCAAAAGAGGCAGAGATGGGGAGAGATGTGAAGCCACATAAAGATCGCCCAGGAACAAAAGCTCGACTAACAACCTTCCTCCAGAGCCAACAGAGAGTGAAAGCCTTCCCCTAGAGCCAGTGCTCTGAATTCAGATTTCTAGCCTCCTAAACTGTAAGAAAATAAATTTCTGTTTGTTAAAACCACCCACTCGTGGTATTTTTGTTATAGCAGCACTAGATAACTAATGCAGAATTTCATACTGGGAGTGGGGTGCTGCTCTAGTAGATACCTAAATTGTGGAAGTGGTTTTGAAATTGGGTAATGGGTAGAGGCTGGAAGAGTTTAAGGTGCCTAATAGTAAAAGCCTAGAATGCCTTGAAGAGACTGTTGGTAGAATTACAGATATCAAAGGCAATTCTGATGAGGACTCAGAAAGAAGTAAGGAGAGCTAGAGAGAAAGTCTTCTGTCATTATAGAGAATATATATGGTGTTAGAACAGAATGTTGCTAGAAATGTGGATGTTAAATGTGCTTTTGGTGAGGCTTTAAAAGAAAATGATGAACATGTGATTGGATAATGGAGGAAGGGTGATGCTTTTTATGCAGTGGTGAAGGACTTATCTGAATTATGTTCAAATGTTTGGTAGAAGGTACCAGGCACTCCTGGGAAACTCTATGGGGCATTTCTACTCTGTCCTATAGGGTCGCTATGAGTCGGAATCGACTTGACGGCAACGGGTTTGGTTTTTGGTTTTATAACTTATAAGTGATGAACTTGGCTATCTGGCTGATGAGATTTCTAAGCAAGATCTTAAAGGGGCTGCGTGGTTTCTCCTTGCTGCTAATAGTAAAATGTGAGAGGAAATAGATGGACTTAAAAATGAACTGTGCATGATGAAAACAAAACTTATAGATCTGAAAAATTGTGTTGCCCAAACTAAGGACACGTGTCCTAGAATGTTCACCAAGGACGTGGCTACACGATCTTTTGTTAAAGAGATTAAGCCTGTGACTGATGAATCTAACCAACTACCACAGCAGAAAACCCATCAGCTTAGACTGAAGGGGACAGAGAAAGAATGAAAGGAAAGAATACTGTACGCCTCTTGGAATTCTACAGGGAGGAAACACTCCAAAGGAGCTATATCTGTTGTCCTCCAAGAAAAGTAAAGGACTATCCTGGAGCAGCCTGGAGATCAGCAGAACTGTTGGAAGGAGCATGGGAAGCAGGGCCCTCTTGGTTTTAAAGGGTGGGGCCACGGTCTCCTGGGTTTCAAAGAGTCGGATCTTCGCCAAGTCAGTTCCGGAGTGTGGGGCTGCTGCTAAGGTGTGCCAAAGCCGAGAGGGCGGGGTTTCTATGTCCAAGGGGCAGAAGAACAGGGCCTGCAGGGGCCAAGGAAGTGGAGTCGCCACTCTGATGGACTAAGAGAATGGGGCTGGCTGCCTGAAGCCGAGGAAGCAGAGTTGCCATCCCAGAGGGCCTGGAAGGCATGGCTGAAGCCCAGGACCAGGAGGCCTCCACACAGAATCCAGACAGCCTGGCCAACACCCAGAGTCTAGAGGGTGAGGCCATTGCCCAGATGGTCTCAGGGAAGAGAGGATTATTTTCAAGCTTTGAGAGCTAATGTAATTTGTTCTGCTGGATTTTGGACTTGTTGGGTGCCCATTATCCCTTCCTTCGCTCCAGTTTCTCCCATTTGTAATGGAAATGTCTACCTTGTTCCTGTTCCACCATTGTACCTTGGAAATAGATAGATTTCACAGGTTCCCAGATGAAGAGGAATTTGTCCCAGGATGGAATACGTCTAAAGTCTCTCACATATTTGATTTAGATGTTTCAGAAGATGAGATTTTGGACTTGGAGTTAATTAAAACTTTTGTGATGATTTGATGGGGTGAATGTGTTTCACATGTGGCAAGGACATGAATTTTGGGGGGACCAAAGGGTGGAATGTTATAGATTGAATTGTGTTCCCAAAAATGTGTTGTATATCCTAACCTCTATGCCTGTGGTTATAATTCCACTTGGGAATGACCTGTCTTTGTTATGTTAATGAGACAGGATTAGTGTAGGTCTGTCTTGAGTCAATCTCTTTTGAAATATAAAAAGAGATTAAACAAGGGAACAGACAGGAAGTGAGATGGGTAAGATAGATGCCAAGACACATGGAGATCTCCAAGGAACCAGAACAAGGACCTTCCTCCAGAGCTGAAAGAGAGAGAAAGCCTCCCCCTAGAGCTGGCACCCTGAAGTCGGACTTCTAGCTTCCTAAACTGTGAGAAAATGAATTTCTGTTAAAGCCATCCACTTGTGGTATTCTGTCATAGCAGCACCAGATAACTAAGACACTGAATATATAATCTTTATTCATAGAAAAAAAGACTATGAGTCAGTTTGGCTTTGGATTTCTCATAAAGGGGTGGCACGGGACTAGTTTGCAGGGAACAGTCTTCTGAGTTATACTTGTCAGGTAGGTTTGGAACTAAGTATGGACTGGAAATTATCCTGTGGGACCCCTAGGTACACACTGCCAACTTGGGCATTTGTCTTCTGTTTTAAGAAGCGCTTTGCTTGTTACTTCAAGGGTTCTTCTGGTTAGCAAGAAGGTCTCAGGCTCAGGCACAGCACTGCACAGCCAACATCACTCAAAGGTTGAGGAGTGTGCAGGGACAACTAGACAATGGCACTTTCTTTCCCAAGGAGTGTCTAGGGGCCAGTCTATGGCAGCAGCTGTAGGAATCTAACTTTCCCACTCTTAATCTTGCTAACTTTTGGCACCAGGTCAGCCTCTGTTATGGGGAGCCTTCATTCATGCAACTAATAGCCTATCTAACGAAATTAAGTAATCTCTCTCTCACTCATACACCTCCTCCAAAGTCATCACTGTGAAATCAAAGAAACTAGGAACACAGTTCCTGGTTTTGTCTATGTGGCCAAGAATTACCAATTAGAAGAATAATGGAAACCCAAACCAGGAAGCTTTGTCAGTCAAGGTCGGTCATTACCCCCTTTCCAGAATCTCTCCTCTTTTTATCAAAACTATACACCTCACTGATTAGAAAGAGCAGATCTACCCAAGATTGTGATGCTGCGGGCCCTGTCTTCAACTGGCTCTGGCAGTGGATTTGCGTGCAGGTCTCTGAGTTACAGTGACAGCCATGGAGTGTGTAAGTGACAGGGCTCCAAAGCAGGGATGCTCTGTGACAGCCTTGGCTTCCCTGCTGGTGTCTGCTCCAGCATGACTCTGAGGAAGCAGAGTAGACCCTCCCCATAATACCAAGCTTCCACAGATGCTTCCAGAGAAGCATAGTGAGTTAACCAGGGACACAGACAATGAGCACCATTACTGGAAGTCTTCTATTCCTACTCAGTGCCATTTCCAAAACCCCACACTGAAGGAGACTGAGCCCACAACTCCAACCTTGATGAACAAACCTGGTCCATGTGCACCAAGATCTGACTGCAAGAATAAGGATTTCATCCTTGTACTGTATGTGGTAGCAAAATATTAGAACAACCTAAATATTGAACAAGAGGAGATGTAAATATCTATATGTAGACATGCAGCCCCGAGGGCACAGTGGTTAAGGGCTACAGCTGCTAACCAAAAGGTCGGCAGTTTGAATCCACCAGCCGCTCCTTGGAAACCCTATTGGGAAGTTCTACTCTGTCCTGTAGGGTTGCTACGAGTTGGAATCAACTCGATGGCAACAGGTTGGTTGGTTGGTATATGTAGACATGAGGTTGCAGTAGAATGTAATGGTGTGGAAAAGCTGTCGAGCTATATTAACAAGCAAGGTAGAAAACCAAATGTGCGCATGTATGCCCATAGAAAACAACACAGGAAAATACAGTAAAATGTTACTAGGTTATCTCTAGGTGTATTATAGGTCATTCTTATTTTCTTCTTGTTTGCCTATATCTGCCAAAGTAAACACAGACTACAAAGCAAATCTCCTCATGTCACCTGACACAATACGTGTCACATTCCAAATTGAAACCTTTTCACCAGAAATCCATTCTCTTTTATGACAGGTACCTTTTCCCAAAGTGTACCATGTCAATGTGTCCCCTTCCTTATACATGGCACAGGTGAAAGCCTATATCCACAGTGGCCATGCCATGGGCTTCATGTCATTCTAGAGAATTTCACTCCTGCTGTAAGGCCTTCCCTACCACCCCAGTGATTTCCTGTCCTGGGCTCCTGCCCCCACACACTACCTGCTGCTGCCTGTGATATCAGAAGACAAATAGTAAAGGACTAAAGATTATCATCTATCTGCCAACGCATATCCTTAAAACACGAAAAATATCTTTCAGATACAATTTTTGCCTTAGAAAATTGGCAAAGGTTCAAAATGATAGATTTCAGCATTGGCACACTTATACACTGCTAGTAGCAGCATAATGTGGTAGCATTGCCTTTCTACAGGTAGCAGTAGAACCTTTCTAAAGGACAATTTTAGCAATACACATCAGTAATCTTAAAAATGTGCATGACCACTGATCCATTTATCAAGGAAACACTGTACTTAAAAATGCACAAAGATTTAGCTTCCAATATTCCATTACTCACAATATTGTTTATAACAACAATTGGAAACAACCTTAATGCCCAAGAACAGGACAATGGTTAAACAAGTCATGTTTCTCCATATAATGGAACACTGTGCAATCATTAAAAGTATGTTGTAAAAGACTAGAGACCCGGTAAAATGTTCATAGTATTTTAAGTAAAAAAGCAGATAGAGTAGGATTCTATTTTTGTTTGAAATATATATATATATATATATAAATATATATAAGCACACACATACACATACAGATACATATACACACATATGTGGATACGTTGTTGTTGTTAGTTGCCGTCGGCTCTAACTCATGGCAACCCTTACAGACATGAATAAATAAATGCAAAAAATAACAGCATCTCATCTCTAGATGATGGGATTAAAGGGTGATTTTTTTTTTAATTCTGTATACCCTTCTGTACTTTGTAGTTTTTCTACAAAGAACATGTACTACCTGTGTTATAAAAAAGATGAGTTTTTTTGTTTGTTTCTTTGCTTTTTAAGAAATACTCCACTTACACTCCTTCTCAGATTTCATTTCCTTTTATTCTCTCAGAAATTATATTTTACATTTTGGTTAAAATGGTTCCCAGCTGATGACAGGAGATGGGAAATACTTCTCTGTTTTAGATCAAACTCCTGGTCCTCTCCCCTTCTGCCACTGGGACAGAGTGATCAAGCTCGTACCTTTCTTCCCCAGCCACTGACCCCAGGGCTTCACTCAGTATCCAAGGGGTGGGCACAGCTCAGTAGACTGTGACAACAGTGGTACATGCAGGGGAGGCCAGGAGGAGGCAGGCCCTGCTACTCTTTCTCACTCTTTCTCAAGGAAGAAAGCAGGAGAACAGCCCAGGGAAGGGCAGCAAAAAAGCAGTGCCAAGACACCCACGAAGGAAACTCTTTGGGTGGCATGCTTGTGAGAGTTGAGCTATTCTCACAGTCATCACAAAACCAGTCCACTTTGGGAATTCCCCCTACCTTCTCCCATGTCGCCACATCCTCATCAAAAGCCTGAGACCCAGATATCAGCCCCATTGTACTCCCACATACTCACAATCTCTGGAGTTTCTTTGTTTGCTTTCTGCCTCCGGAGATCTGCCCTGATGAATGCTGAGGTCCAGGGATGAAGGAAGAGCAACAAAGACACAGAGTCATCAAGCGGATCAACAGTCAAGTTCATCCGAGAGAAGGAACTCTCATGTTCCTAAGGGCCACAGGTATCCCAAACCTACTTCAGATATTCAAGGGAGCTGGGGCACCATCGGCCAACTTGATCATTGCTATCCTTGACAGGCAGAAGCCAATAATGACATTGGCCCTTGTTTTTGGATAATTTACACTTGCCAGGAACTTTGAACATAGTGCTCTAATCTTCACAACAATCTCCATTTCACAGATAAAGAAACTGAGGCTCCCAGGGGTTGATCAGTTGCCCAAGGTCAAATGACTCTATAGGTCATTGTCACAGTATAGGATTCATACTTGGGTCTTTTGGTTCCAAAGCCCATGCTCATTCCACCAAGCCATGTTACTACCTCCCAAATAGATTTCCTAACAAATCATCCCATCTGTCCCTCTATATGTGTTCCCCCATCTGTACAACCAACAAAGACACTGGGGTCCTAAATTGCCAACAGCCTTGCCCATGAGCAGCCTAAGCCTCATTCTTGCCCTCAGGCCTCAACTCACCAGTGAGAGCCACTCCAAGCATAAGGAAAACACACAGGAAGATGTTCCCAGGTATGGTTCCATAGTTGTCGATAATCTGGCCTTGGGAGATGGTGAAGATGATCCCAAATACCTGGAAAGGCACAAGGAAGAGAGACTGGAAACAAGGGTCCAGCCAGCTAGCCCATAGAGGTAACTGAGCTGCCATAATACAATGCCTGCACCAGCCAAGCTAGGCAGGGAAATAAGAGCCCTACCTGGGCAGACACGTTGAGGAGGCCAGATGATATGCCTTCTGATTCTGGGTACGTCAGCTCCACGGCAAACTCAAATCCCAGCGGGAGATAGCCAGTCATAAAGAAGCTGAAGGTCAGATCACAGAAATATGGTATTGGCAAACTCCCAGATGAAGAAAGATGGGGAGTCCACCTCCTCCCTTACAACTCCCTTTCTTGTTTCCTTTCTCCCCATCAAGACGTGCCAGTGCCTTGAACTACCTGGCCATCCCCAATGTGGCCATTCCAAGGAAAAGGAAGCCCCAGAAGGCCACATATAGGCCTTGTGCTCAGGAGTCCTCCAGGGTTCCATGCTTCCACATCTAGCCATCATTACAGACAGGGTCAGCATCTACAGAAGGGGTGGGATGCCTGGTGTGTTCAACCTTCACCTGAGAGGCTTCTGTGTCTTGGGCACACAGGCCCTGTACTGGGAGTGGGAAGTCCCTGGGTGTTATGGATTTGAATTGTGTCCCCCAAAAATATATGTTGTAAATCCTAAACTTTATGCTTATGATTATAATCCCATTTGGGGATGGGTTGTATCTGTTATGTTAGTAAGACAGGATTAGTGTAGGGTGTGTCTTAAATCAATCTCTTTTGATATATAAAAGTGATTAAACAAGCAAGCGAAAGAAGCAGAGATGGAGAGAGATGCCAAGCCACATGAAGACTGCCCAAGAGCAGAAGCTAAAAGAGACAAGGACCTTCCTCCAAAGCTGACAGAGAGAGAAAGCCTTCCCTTAGAGCTGGCACCCTGAATTCGGGCTTTTAGCCTCCTAAACTGTGAGAAAATAAATTTCTGTTTGTTAAAGCCATCTACTTATAGCAGTACTAGATAACTAAGACAAAGGATATTCAGCAGCATCTCCATGGCTCTCTAGTACCTGGAAGGAGGAGCTCAGAGTCCTCCTTACTTCCCTCCAGACAGTAGCAGACTGAGAAGCACTAAGTGCAAGAGGTGTCTCGCTCTCTCTCTGATACACTTACTCATTCTCTCTCTCAGAGAGGTTAAGTGACATGCTTGTGGTCTAACAGACAGCCAGCAGCAGAACTAACACCAGGACCCAGAGTTTCTGATTTCAAGCCCTGTGTACTTTCTATGGCCCCATGTTGGCCCAGGCGAATGTCTCTAAACATTCTTAGCCTCCCAGAGGTCTGTGAAGGGCTTTCTTCATGCTTCACTCCATCCCAACAGCAGGGATGGGCCTGGAAGCACCCGGCTGCCTTTTGAAGTGCTACAAGTAAACAAGACCCCTGGGCACCATTTCCACATCTCCAGAGGTCAATAGGGGGATCACTATTGCTTACTAGGATGTTGGCAGCTCTAGGAGCAATGGAATGGTATTTTCCACTTAAACAGGTGAGTGATGAAACTTACCCCAATGTGCCAGCTGTGATGAACACTACCCACAGGTGTCCCAGGTTCAAGGTCAAGGTATATACCACCATGCCCACCAGAGCCATGATATATACCACCAGGGTTGTCTCCCTATAAGTCGAGGCAAAAAAGTTGAGTCACACTATTCCAACTTCAACAGCATCATTCATTCACTCATTCCACAAGCATCTATTGGGTATCTGCTCTGCATCAAACCCTCTGCTGTGTGCTGGGACATCTGCCTCAGAGAACTTTCTGTCCATGGGGGTGATAGACACTGAACCAAGGAGCACACAAATAATTAATGAATTATTTTGTGGTCAATGCTACAAAGAGAAAGACCAGGAGAGCAGAAAGCCATCTTGCTGTATGTGTTCCCTCCTGGCAGAAACCTCTCAACTAGACCAAGCTGCCCCTTGACTTCCTATGTCCTACCCACAGGCAAAAAGGGCATAGCCCTTTCCTCCCCCACCCCCCATTAAAAAAAAAAAAACAGGACAAACACCAGCTGTGCTCAGATGGCAGTGAAGTGAAGGACTACATCACTGAAGCCATCCGACTCTGCTTGTTTGCTTTCTCCCAAGGCCCCATAACAAAGCTGGGCAGTGATCTTTTAGATTTTCTCTGTCATCTGTGAGTTCTTCCTGTTGCTCCTCGCAAGGCCCAGCACAGCTTTTCCTGTTGAGTCTCAACTACTATGCCCCAGTTAGCAGGGACTAAAAAAGAAAACATTCTCCAGCTCTGTATTAAGTGTTTGACTCCAAAGCCAAACTGAGAAACTCTCCCTGTGACATTTCCATTCAGAAGTACCACCAGCAAAGTCCCTGGTTTCTCCTTCAGGCTCTCCCTTGCTTGTGCCCCTGCATGCACTACTCTTCCCACACTGCCCACTCCTGACTCTCTGCTGCCGCCCTGGCTCCTTCTGCAAGCAGACCCAATAACACTACTCACTGCAGGGCACAGGCTCTGCACAACCTCTGCCCGCCTGCTACGATCATCAGGACTCAGATGATGAAGGCTCGAAGCCTTCACACGTCTCCCTGAAGCCAGAAACATGGTGTGAGCACCAGCAGAGTGACGTTATGGTTATATCAAACGACTACCCACATTTACTGGGTGCCAAAAATTGTGTTAAGCACTTTTCATGCACTTATTATTTCATGCATTCTTTACAAAAGCCCTGCAAGAAATGTATGACTATCCCCAGTTTTAGGAAACAAGGAAGCTGAGGCTCAGACCAGCTAATTCCTTGTCCAAAGTCACCAGTTGAGCAGATGGCAAAGCTGGGATTTGAACCCAGAGCTGGGATTTGACACCTGTGCTCTTCCTAGTATCGTACACAGGGATAACAACACACTATGTGGCTGCATCTCTGGAAAAGCTCAAGGTCAGAGCTTCCAAAGGATGCCCTTCCCACCCAGTAGTTCAAAGCTGCTGCTGAGGGTAGAAGGTTGCCTCCTTCCTTTATCCTACTCCCCTCCTTCTGTTCTCATCCACCCTGCAGAAAACAACTTAACTTCACGATCACGAGTCTTTCTCACGGACCACACAAGCTCACCGGAAGCTGGTCTTTTTTTGGCCATGTCTGTTTAACCATAGTTTCATCTTAAACCACTGACCAGTTTAGAAAACCTATCTGTAGCCCCAGCCTGAGATAAGGGGACCTCACCACCCAAATTCCAGCCTCCAGATCAAACTGGGCAAATCTGGGAGATTTAGGGAGTGAGAAGTCCCTGGGTGGTACGATGGTTAATGTGCTCAGCTGCTAACCAAAAGGATGGTGGTTTGAGTCCACTCAGAGGTACCTCAGAAGAAAGGCTTGACTATCTACTTCCAAAGTATCAGCCATTGAAAACCCTATGTAGCACAGTGCTACTTTGATACACACGGCATTGCCATGAGTGAGAATCAACTCAATGGTAAGTGGTTTGTTGCTGTTGTTGTTTAGGGAATGAGAATTGGCACCAAAATTACTAGATCCCAGGGCTCTCTCATCCCACCAAGAGTTGTCCTTTCTCTGCCTGGCTTGGTGGCTCATGCTGACTGCTGAATTTAGATGTCACATGACACTGGGAAGTGGTGACATCTAGGTTCTGAAGAAGGCTAGGGAAGTATCCTGTCCTCCCCAGCCCTTTCACTGTATTTTTTTTTTTACTGTATTTTCTAATTCATCCGAATCCTCTGGCTGCCCATGTCCCAGCCCAGCTGACAGTCCAATTCCCCCTTTCCCTGCCACAGAACAAGCCCTGGAAAAAGGGACAGTGCTATTCCCTGATTAGGGAGTGGCCAGTCCTCACTGTCCTCATATCTGGCTGAAGCAACTAACTACAGATGGCAGAGATGAGACGGCGGCCAGTCTCCACCAGGGGTAATTAAGCCGAGCCAGGCGCCTCCTTGTGTTAAGCAAGGCGGCTACATCCCTGCGGATGGCCTCAATTGGCCTTTGATTTTGGTGGCCAGAGTGAGACCTGGTCTGACCAGGGCCTCACAGAAGCGAGTTTGTGTGGCAGAGAACAGGTCTGCCACTGTCCGTCGCCTCCAGACACTGGGAACTTTGGAGGCATTGACAAAGCAGCCCAGAATGCCACCCCGCCCCAGCGCAGGACAACCCTAGCAGCTGCCCGTCAGCTAGTGGTAACTGAACACCCAATGCATGCGGAGCATTGAAAAGATGCAACATGAAGGGGAGAATGTTGGGCTTCTGTTCTCCAGAGCACATTCTGCAAGGGTGGCTACTGAACTGAGGTACCTAGGTTGCTTTGTACAAATGCTGATTCCCCTGCTGAAATGGCATCCGTGGGGGTGGGAACTGGGAATCTGCATTTCTAATAAGCACCCCTGGATCACCCTGGCATACATGAAGATCTTAGAAAGACTGCTCTGGGCTCTTAGAATTGCACTGAGCAGTCAGGTCCAAAGCACATCGCAATATTTACCAATATGGTGTAGGCAACTGCAAGAGGAAAAAAAAACAAAACTAGTTGCCGTCAAGTCAATTCCAATTCATGGTGACCCCATGTGTGTCAGAGTAGAACTGTGCTCCTTAGGGTTTTCAGTGGCTGGTTTTTCAGAAGTAGATCACCAGGCCTTTCTTCCGAGGTGCCTCTGAGTGGACTTGAACCTCCAACATTTCAGTATGCTTAACCGTTTGCACCACCCAGGGACTCTAATGGCAAGATAATACACTACAACTTAGACTAGCCATAGAGTGCTTTGATTAACCCCACAGCATCGAAGAGAGCCATGGGAACAGAGCAGTGAAACCACCTTCTCATCTCCCCACTTTGGAGTTTCCACAAACTTTCCAACTGTGGACATCTTTCCTACATTTTCATTTCTCCTTCATCTGCCCCTTCCACAAAGCTACTCAGGGGTGAGGATGGGGGTAGCACTGAGCTAGGTCTTTATGTCCCTTAGTTCTAATCCCACTATGATCCTCATAAGGCAGGTATTGCTTCCTCTATTTTATAAATGAGGAAACTGAGGCTCAGAGAAGATAAATTTAAACTGCCAGCTTGACCACTCAGACTCCCAGCTGTTGCAGCCAAGTGTTTGGAGTCGCACTACTAATGAATATGTCATTTAAAAACATGGGTCCCCCAAGTCCCACTCCCAGAGGAAGAGTCACTTACTTGTAGGTTTTGGATTTATCCAACCAGATGCCTGAGATCATAGCCCCAAGCATGCCTGCAAGAATGATGGTCAGGCCGATTCTTCCAGCATTGACTTCTTCCCCCTGGGAAGATCAAAGCCCCAAAGATCACCCAGCTGACAGACAAGACATTGGACAGAGTGTACACACCACGAGGTGAAGGGGCAAAGGCAAGTCTCTTGGGCTCCAGTTGAGCTAATTCTCATAAATTATTGGGGCAAGATGACCTGTAAGAAGCTGCCATTGGGGAGAGAACCGTAGAATAGTTGCTTCCCCCAACATAATATAATCCCAGATGTGCATGCATGGTACTGGATGCTGGGGTGATAGGGTAAATCACATTCTGTTCTCAAAAGCTCTTTTAGATAGATTTTTCAATTTTGATTCTTACAGCAACCCTTCTCTCTTATTCCTCACTATTCCCATTTCACAGATGGGGAAACTGAAATACGTATGTCCAAATATTCCATTCTTAGGTTCTTCTGAGCTGTCAGTGGCTGAAAGAACAGGAAGATAATAGTTGTACATATTTTTGAGCACTTAGAATGAGCCAGGTACCGGGTTGAGGATTTTACATCATCAACTCATTTAATCCTCATGATTCCTCACTAAAAGTTTAGGAATCAGCATCCCCACGCTACAGGTGAAGAAACCGAGGCACAGCAGATTAACCTACTAGCCTAAGGTCATGCCATATTAAGTGAAGAACTAGGATTTAAACACAGACCTGTTGAACTTCAAAACTGGAACACTTAGTCATAATGGCCCACCACTTCTGGAAGTGTGAAATCCTAAACTAAAACCACTGCCGTCAAGTCAACTCCAACTCACGTGTGCAAAGTAGGACTGCACTCCATAGGGTTTTCAAGGCTGTGACCTTTTTGAAGAAAATTGCAAGGCCCTTCTTTTGAGGTGCCTCTGGGTGGGTTTGAACCATCAACCTTTTGGTTAATAGTCGAGCACTTAACCATATTTGCTATCCAAGGACTCTGTGAGATCCTAGTCCTTTTAAAAGAGGGTTGGACCTAAGTATTCCTTACTCCAGGACACTCAGTGTCCGATCCCCAGCATCCAGTCCTTACTGGTGCTGGAGATATTTTTAAAAAATGCTTTCAAGCTAAGCAACCAAGAGTTCAAAATTAAACTGTACCCATATTTTACGAATTAAGTATTTCATCTGTGATTCTATGTATATAGTTACCTACTGTTGCCAGGCACCGTGCTATGCACTTTACATAAATATATATACATTTATGTACACACACAAATACATACACACATATATGTATACATACCTGCACACATACAAATACATACATACACACACGATATTATTTACTTTCTAATCCTAAAAATCATCTTGCAATAATTATGCTTCCTTTGCAGAGGGGAAAATAAGAGCTCAGAAACACTAACTAGCTTGTCACCGTAACATCAGCACACAGTTTAGTACCACCAGATGTGGGGTTGAGACCCAGGCCATCTCCCTCCAAATCACTTAAGCACATCACCATACCATGCTGCCTAGAACTGGGGAGTGCTGAGAGTTAGCTGCTGCCCAGCTCCTGTGGAGAAAGCCTTGGAAATCACACCATGTCCGAGCCCCGCGTGTCTGGGGAACTCCCTTACCGGGTAGTGCAAGATCACCATGCGATTCAGTAGAGTGGACAAGGCATAAAAAGCACCAGCATTCAGACCTGAAGGAGGGAGGGAGAAACACACAGTATTAGGGTCAGCCTTGCCTGGAGCCATTGCTAACTCCTCCCCCCAGTGGTTTGGGAGGCCAGAAATCCTCAGCACCACTGCCATTGCGACTGGTATCCTCAACGAAGAAAAATCCAGAGAAGTATGATGCTACTCTGCAGTTTTTCCCTAAGAAATACTTCAAAACAACCAAACACAGTCATTTTTAACCGTTTCTTAGGCAAACACTTCTGCTCTCTGATCCTTTTAGCATTGCCCTGGAAACAAAGGCTCTATAAAGCATTTTTCTAGGGTCAAAATCTTCTACATCCATCTCTGAGTCCCTGGGCAACGCAAATGGTTAAATGTTGGGCTACTAACTGAAAAGTTGGTGATCCAAGCCCACCCAGAAATAACTTGGAAGAAAGGTCTGGCGATCTATTTCCAAAAGATCACAACCAAAACCCAGTGGAGTGTAGTTCTACTCTGTATACATGAGACCACCATGAGTCGGAGTTGACTCGTTGACAACTGGTTTGGTTTTTGGTTTTATGGGGCAGTGGGATTACTGGATACCCTCTAACTCCTCCTGATGACCCTCATCCCGTTTCCAGACTGCTCCAGACCTCTATCTCCTGATGCCACTACCTCTGAAGGTGGTTTCTCATCTTTTTCCCCCACTCCTCCTTCAACTTTCTGCTCTGATTCAATGTCACACAAAAATCTCATATATCTGAAACCAGAAGAGACGCTAAAAGGCATCTAGTGGACTCTCCTAGTTCAGCAATTCATTCAACAAATAGAGTACCTAGAATATACCGTAAGAACCTGTATCTTTAGAGAAAGAGGTCATTTGTCCAAAGCCACACAGTGAGTTAGAAGCTCAAATGGTACTGGAACCAGAGGAGAAAGGGCCTCCAGGCCTCCATCCAATAACAACAATAATGGCAGTGCACACATTTATGTACTAGACACGGTTCTAAGCACATGACAATCCCCACAACAACCCCAGAAGTAGATATTAGTATTATCCCCATGTTATAGATGAGAATAAATGCACACAGAGGTAAAAAGTTTGCCAGAGTTTACTCTGTACTGTCTACCAGGGTCTTCCACTAATCATTGAGGCTCACAAAACTTGAAGAGGCATACTTGATATTAGATTTACTTTGGAGGATATAGACTGGACACAGAGCTTGCTGGCAGGGCAACCCAGGCATTCTTCAATGAAACTAGCCCATAAGCACCAGTCCATACCATGGTCTACATGGCCATCCAGGAGCTATTCCTGTTGTACCCTCATCATGTGCAAGGAGACGGTGGATATGGCAACCACCCTGGTTCCACACTTGTAACAACTCCATCAGCATAACTTCCAGGGTCCCCATAAAGGACAGGCCAGTGAAAAAAGCTACTATACTCAGGGAAACACAAAGAATGGCTTCCCAGTAGATACTAACAGGTATCCTTGTCCAGATGCCCTTTACTCATCAGAGGTCACCTTTATCATATGCAATGTTGCCTAAATGTAGCTGACAAGCTCCCTTTATGAGGTTCCCAGGGAAATGAGCTACAAAGTTAACTGAAGGTCAAATTCTTATATAAAATAGGAGATAAGTTGTTTGTTTGTTTGTTTTTAACCATTCCCTGGGGTAGGAGTTGAATCCAGACCACGTGTTTTCAGAGTCCTCCCTCTTAACCACTCTATAATCAGTTGCCCTCAAGTCAATCCCAACTCATGGTGACCCCATGTGTGTCAGAGTAGAACGGTGCTCCATTGGATTTTCAATGGCTGATTTTTTTGGAAGTAGGTGGCCAGGCGTTTTTTCCAAGGTGCCTCTGGGTAGACTAGAACTTCCAACCTTTAGGTTAGCAGCCAAGCATGCTAACCATTTGCAACACTCCGGGACTTCCACTCTATTATACAGTCCCCTAAAATTGATTCTCAAACAGATTTCTCAGTTCAGGTCATGAAACAATTTCTTTGGGTCCCAGCCCCTCCCAGCAGGTGACCTCAGGGATGCCACAAGGTTGAGCTCAATGCAGTCTCTCGAGTGGCTCAGGGCCACAGTGAGCAACAAACACAGAAGTCTCACCAGACAACTACAAATGCCATGATGGTCATGGTGACTTTGAGGTGCTCAGAAACATCTTACTCAACAAGCACACCCTCATACCAGCCACCCAGCCACTTAGAAGTTCCATTCTTGAGTCAAGACAGCCCATAAGGAGACACAGTCCAGAAAAGGGTTCCTCTCTCAGCCTCTCGTCCTAGCCTAACACTGCAAGGGGCAACAAATGCTCCAAGTTAAGCTCTCAGCTTCAGGTGGAAGGGCTGCTGTCAGCTTAGGTCCCCAATAAGGGTAGACAGAGGAACTCTGGTGGCGCAGTGTTTAGGAGCTCGGCTGCTAACCAAAAGTTCAGTGGTTTGAACCCACCAGCTGCTCTGCAGAAGAAAGATGTGGCAGTCTACTTCTATTAAGATTTACAGCCTTGGAAACCCAATGGGGCAGTTCTGCTCTGTCCTATGGGATCACTACAAGTTGGAATCGACTTGATGGCAACAGGTTTTTTTTTAATGGGTAGACAAGGAGGAACCTCCATACGAGGGCAGAATCCACAGGAGACAGGGAAATTGTCCAAGAGGAGCTGAGAGCAAAGGATCGCCTCGAACACCAGCATTGTCATGACTGAAAAAGGTGGAGCGAAGCAGTGCCTTGAACAGCTGGCCACACTACTGTAGCTAAAGTGTTTCTGGGACTCAGTGCTCCAGTGAAATGGTTTTTCAAAATGTGGTCTGTGCACTATCAGCACCACCTGGGAAAACTCATTAGAAATGCAAATACATGACCCCACCCCAGACCTACGGAAGCAGAAACTCTGGGAGTGGGCCCCAGCAATCTGTGTTTGAACAGCCCTCCAGGTTCTGAGACTTGCTCAAGTTTGAGAACCACTGGCTTAGCATGGTGCACTAACAGCCATTCCTGCTCCCAGAGCCCTGATTGCGCAGTGGTTAGGGTTAGGGTTAGAACTCAGCTGCTAATGAAAGGTCAGGAGTTCGAATCCACCAGCTGCTCCTTAGAAACACTTGATGGGACAGTTCTACTCTGTCCTGTAGGGTCACCATGAGTCGGGTATCGACTAGACAGCAACTGTTTTTATTCCTGCTTCCAGCCAGGAAGGAGACTTCCTGATCTGATCAGGGCTAAGGCATGGATAAAGGTATGCATGAGTACTTGCAGGATTGGGGAAGAAGGCTCACCCTGGAAGGCTGAACATCTTTCTAATGGTTTCTGCAGTCTGAGTTCACTTTCCTTTGGCCTTCCTGAGCTTATGTGAAATCTTGTCGTAAAGGGCCAGCCTGACCTTAGCAAAGTTCCCAGGAATCATTAGAAGGATTTTATACCCACTCTTAAACCAGGGGAGTCCCTGGGTGTTGCAAACTGTTAACATGCTTGATTGCTAACCAAGAGGTAGGAGGTTCAAATCCACCCAGAGGCACCTTGGAAGAAAGGCCTGGAGATCTACTTCCAAAAAACTAACCATTGAAAATCCTATGGAGCACAGTTCTACTCTGACACTCATGGGTTCACTGTATGTCAGAATGGATGTCAGTTAATTCTTAAACCAGGCCCTCAGAGGAGACACAAACCCCTTCAGAGCCCTAAGGGAAGGTGAACCTCAGGGTGCAAGAGTTGAGACTCGGAGTTCAGATGTCTGTCCCCACTTTAAGATTATTGAGAAGCACAGCCGGAGGCAAGGCTAGGGGAAACCTTGGGGAAAGTATTCCCTTTGAGGACATTCTCTAAAAGAAGAACCTTGTCACAATTCTTTTTAACATGAGAAATGTTATGACATTAATGAAAAGATATTAGAAGAGCAAGATATTAGAAAGCAAGACCTAGAGACACAGAGAGAAGGTAGTCAAAACAAAAAACATGAACATGCCTCCATGAACAACTGCCTCCTTTGACATGAGCCCAGAAGAACTGGATTGTGCCCCGGTATCATTAATGAACATTTTGATCAAAAATTCTCTAGAAGAATCTTGATCAAAAGGGAGAAAATTCAGAACAGAATTTCATATTCTCATGGACTCCAAACTTCCTGGAGCCATGGAGGGTAGATGAACCCCTGAAACTATCGCCCTAAGATAATCTTTAAACCTTAAACCAAAAATATCCCCTAAGGTCTTCTTAAAACCAAACAATAGTTCAGCTTAACTAGTAAAAAAGGTTGGCCTTTAGCATTATGCTTTTATAAGAACTGTGTATCTGTATGGGATCAAATTAATAACAGCAACTTGAAAGACTAGACAGGAATCTAAGGGGACAGCTGAGTTTATGTTAATAGGGGATGAACAACTCAGAAAAGAAGGGTGAGAATGGATGCACAACTTGAAGAACGTAATCGATGTCACAGAATTGTACATGTAGAAACTGTTGAATTGGTTCATGTTTTGCTGTGTATTTTCTCAACAACAACAACAAAATAAATAAAATTATTAAAAAAACAAAAAACAGCACACTCAGTTAAATTTAAATTTCAGATAAACAAGGAATAACTTTTTTATTTTATGCCCCAAATATTGCATGAGATATGCTTTCACTAAATAATAACAATAAAATGTTGCTTTTCTGAAATTTAACTGGACATTCTTTATTTTATCTCTCAATCCATACCTCTAAGGGTGTGGCCAGAAATCTCTAGGGAAGGGCCAGCAACACTTGGACCCTGGATTTCCTCCAAAGCCTTCAATCATATCACTGAACATCACCTCTGGGCACCTGACTCAGCAGCTTGGAGAATCACTTAGAGAACCACAGGCAGAATACCAGACATACCACCAACTGCAGGAGAGCTACTCCCTACTTGGTGAAATCTAGTTCAGATCACAGAATGTTGGAAATAAGCAAAAGTTTACCAACACAGTAACCATTTGAATGCATGTGGTGTCTTTATTCTCAATTGTTACCAAGTTTTCACTTCCAATTCAGAGTACCCCAATGAAAAGCAAATGTTATTACTGTTTTCTGATGGGGGAGGTATTAGAGAGGAGAAAGATGGGCACGAGGATGGGTGAAGGTGGTACACGCAGTAATTAGGAGAGCTAACACCAAAACTCAGCCCTCTTATTCCTTATATGCCAACTCGCAACTCCTCTGTTCAGGATTCAAGGCTCTTACCCCAAGATATGCCCACCCACAGCCAGCAAATGTGCCCGTGAAATGCCATCATCTGCTTGATTCCCAACTACATACTCTTAAGAGTATACAGTTCAGAGCAAAATATGAACACCATATGTACAGTATAAAAAACATGAACCATTTTCCACTTCAAAGTTAAACTGGAAACTGCAGTCGGAGTGGAGAGATGGGGACTAGGCTGGCTAGCTTATGTGTCAATGTAGCTAGGCTATCGTGCCCAGTTATTTGGTCAAACACTAGACATTGCCATGAAAGTATTTTGTAGATGTGATTAACATTTGCAATCAGTTGGCTTTAAGTAAAGGAGATGCCCCTTGATAATGTGGGTGGGCCTCATCAAATCAGTTGAAAGCCTTAGAGTGAAAACTGAGGTTTTGGGGAGAAAAATAATTCTACCTCAACACTGTAACATCAACTCCTGCCTGAGTTTGCAGCCTGCCAGCTTGCCCCAACTGATGATACTGAACTTCTCCATCATCTCTTTACAGCAATATGTAAAAAAAATGGGCATAGCGGCGCTTCTGAAAATACCTCAAGGGGAGAGGATGCAGTTGGCAAACAAACGTAGAAGGCATGCAGTACTTGCATAAAAATAAGGCAGATTTGGACTTCTTCAGGGATAGTTTCCATTAACTTATATTTTTCCTGTATATGGGCCATACTTTCCTATTTCTTTTCATGTCTTATACTTTTTGTTGAAAACTGGACATTTTAAATAATATAATGTGACAACTCTGGATTTGTTGTTGTTGCTTCTGTTTGTTTAATGACTTTCCTAGACCAATTCTGTAAAGTCTGTATTCTTTGTCATGTGTAGCCACTGATGTTTCTACTCAGCGTGCTTAGTGGTAAGAATGATTCGCAGAGATTTCCTTAGATTCCTTAAACCAATAAGTCTCCTACTCCTTGCCAAGGGGCTCTGTGTGCATATTGAGACATGCCTTCAATATTCCAGCAGGCAGTTGACAATTCTACCTTAGCCTTCACTTGCTACTTGTACAGAAACTCAGTGTCATCCAGAGTGAAAGTTCAAGCCCTTTTCAGGTCTTTCCTGGGCATATGCACAGTCTTGCACATGCATGTAGACTTCTAGATCCCCAGGAATATGTTGGAGCTTTTCAAAGCTCGCTATGGACATCTCATTCTTCATACTTCTGATTGTTTTCAACAAACACTCTGGAAATAGCCACCTACTCTCACTGAGTAAGCTCCAAGTTAGGTCAAATAAAGACAATTCTCTGGGCACAGAGCTTTTAAGGGAACTCCAAATCTGTTTTTCCCTCTCTAATGGTTCCTAGGCTGCTGGTTTTCAAAGCTATCACAGTTGTGAGGCTTCCAGTTTTCAAGGCTACTGCAGAGCCTGGGAGAGGGGGATCAGAACAGGGCAAGTGAAAACACAAAGCTCACTGCTTTTACTGATAGCAGCCATTTTTCTTGAATAAATGCTCCTCAGATTATTGCAAGTCTTTGGTTAAGAGCTCTAAAAAGAAACTGATTTTGACAATTTTGGCCAGTGGAGGAGCAGATTTTCTAAGGTCCTTATTCTATTACCCCAGAAGTTCTTCCTTATTTACTTCCTATGTTGCCATTAACCAAATGGGTAAAGAATAGTGTTCAGAAGTATAGGATTAAAGCCACTCTGTCAGATTAAGTACTATATAAGCAGCTAGCCATGAAAGAGGGGAGGTAAAGGAGTTACTTTGCTCCCCACAACATGACCCCAGAGCTGAACCTTCTATGACCAGGAGCAACCCTGTTCCTTACACATTTTGGTTTTGTTTTTTGCTTTTATACATCAGTGAACTGGCCCTGCCATCCACAGCCTCCAGCACTGAAGGCCACAGCCTCCAGAATGGGACCATTGCCTGGTTATTTCCACTATCATCATCCTTAGAAAATATTTATTAAATGCTCATCTACCCTACAATCCCAAGACAGGCCTCAAAATATCCTGTGTCAGATTTAAAAAAAAAAAAAAAATTATGGCTGTCAAAGATCAGTGCACTCAAGATGTTTAACTATGAAGAAGTGATATCATCATGGAATCCTGAGTGGAAGAGAATCCAAAGGTTATCTGGTGTCACTACCCATCTGTAGCCTGAGATTCCCCACAACATTTCTACCAAGTGGTCGCTCTCCTCTATGACTGAATATCTCCCAGTGAGGGACAACTCACAACCTTCTTAGTTGGACATTTCTAAGTGTTGGAAACTTTGTCTTTATATTGTGCATGAATGCAGAAACATGCTCAGTGATAACTAACAAACTGAAAGGAATGAGGAAGGGAGATCTTGAAAACTAATCTAGTCATCTACAGCTATTCCAGGTAGGAAGCCACTTGACTGTGCATCTACCATCTCTTATCTAATGCCTCAGCAGATAATACTTCGAGGTAAACAGCATGAGAAGCCTAAAATGAATTCCTAGCACAATTAAGAAAGGATTATAGGTAATTATGGAATAGTCATTAAGAGGGCAGGCTTTGGAATTAGACAAAACTTGTATTTGAATTCTGGTTCTGCCACTTAAAAGTAAGTTACCTAATCTCTGTGAATTTCAGTTTCCTCATCTGTTAAATGGGGATAATTATAATACCTACCTCACATGGGTATGGTGGGAATCAAATACAATTATATGTGAAAAGCACTTAACCCAAACCCCGTTGTTGTGGAGTCTACTCCAACTCATAGCGACCCTAGAGAACAGAGTAGAACTGCCCTACAGGGTTTCCAAGGAGAGGATGGTGGATTCAAACTGCCAACCTTTTGGTTAGCAGCGAGTTCTTAACCACTGTACTACTAGGGCTCCAAAAAGCACTCAGCGCACAGTAAATGCTATTGTTGTTATAAAACACATATGGTATATAACCTACAGAAAATATAATATTGTAGCCCACTGGGATTTCACTAAGAATAAGTGATGTCAAACCAATCTCATTTCTTTTTTTAAATGGTTACTGAGTATGTTATACACTTGTTGACTCTTGATTTTAACCAAACTTTAACCAATAGGTTAAATGGTGAAATGTAGGCCTGAAATCACTACAGGTGGGTAGATGTGTAACTGCTTGAACTAAGAGTACCAGTTAATAGATCAGTGTTCATCTGGAGAACAAGTGCTCTTCAATGGAATGCCATGAGGCTTTGTCCTTGCCCTTGTCTGGTCCAACATTCCTATTAAAAGTTTGGAAGAAGGTGAAGAAAACACCACGCTGGAAAGGCAAGTCATAAAAGATTCACATTTATCTTGCTCAAAACCAAGAAAAGTAAATGAAAGTGCAATGCTGTCTTACATTCAGGTAAAAAAAAAAGAGCCGACGTTACAAGATGAGAGAGGACTGGTTTCAGAGTGGTTCAAGTGGACAGACTAAGGCATCTAACAACTACTGGAGTCCACTCCTGGCCAGCCACGGCTGAGGAACTATAAAGATGAAAAGATATATACCCCTGCTTTCATGGACTCACAATCTAGTGGGGAGAGATTTTTTTTTTTTTTTTAGTAAGTGTTAAGATGTACAAGGAAAGGTACAATAAGAGAGGAAGGGGCATCTAATTCTGCTTTACGGTGGTGACACTGAGCTGAGACTTGAAGGACTAGTAGGCATTGACCAGACAACCTAGCATGGGAAGTAATGGTTTTTTCTAGGTGGAATTTATAGCACATGCAAAGGTCCTGAGGCAAAGAGATGGTTCTTCTGGTCAGCCCCAAACAACTTTACATGCACATATGGGATCTGGAAAGGGTAAGATACACAGACAAATCAGGTCTCTTACATCTCTCAGGGCATCTCATCTTACGTTACCAGTTCAACTGTGCTCCTGACACATCTGCACCTTACCATAGGTGATGACAAGCAGCACGAAGTTGAGGTTTTTGAAGAGCCGGACGATGGAACTTAAGTACGAAGCATCAGGGGATGACAAGGCATAGCTCAAGGACTGAGCCCTGCTGGGGGGATATTTAGGCTTCTCCTTGAACACTGAAAGAACAGAAACAAAGAGATCACTGAATATCCCTGGGGTCCCACCCCAGCCGAGCTGACACACGCACAAGAACTGACTCCATCATCTGAGAAGGAGCTAAGACTCCAAAAGGAAAGGTAAGTGCCTTACAGCCTCCTCTCTTAAGCTGCTTCTCACTGTCTGAGACTGAGTGAGTGGTCCTTTCATTACTTTTTTTGTAATGGTTTACAGAAAGCTAAAATCATTGGGTATCTCAGGCAGTGTCCAAGGATCAAGGAGTCCCATAAAAATGAGCAAATAACATGCCACAGAGCACTGAAAAAATACAACAGCAACACATGGATGGGCAAGAAGTGAAAGCTGGAGCTTTGGGATTAGTGATCCCAGTTTACGGCTTAGCACCAGATCTGTTCCAAAGGGGACAGGACTACATTGCCCACGCTTAGCACACAGCCTGGTACACAGCAACCCATATAAAGTCCCTGAGTAAGTGACAGGGATCTTCTTCTATAGGAAAAACCTGGAGCCCAGCCCTAGTTTCTCACCTTTTCCTCTCTCTCTTGCCCATGGTAACCATTGATAAACTTTGGTCTCTATACATTTGCCTGTTCTAGATATTTCATGTAAGTGTGATCTTACAATACTTATCATTTCGTGATATGCTTTACTCAGCGTAACGTTTGCAAGGTTCATTCACGTTGTAGCATGTATCAGGACGTCATTTCTCTTTATAGCTGAGTAATATTCCATATTTACTTCAGGTGCCTCACGAAGGAGACAGGGAAGACGTTCATGTGTTTCTCCAAGAGTGGATACTCTGATATGAAGGACTGAGAGGAATAGTGGGAAAATCACTCATTTGATACTCTATTTTCAGTATAACTGGTATGATCATTTTGACTGAACTGACTGCCAAATCCATTTGGCCAGTTGTTAGTGGTCATCGAGTCTGCTGACTCATGGAGATCTTATGTATAACAAAATGAAATGTCTCCTGATCCTGTGCCATCTTCATGATCGCTGGTTCCCCAACTGAATCCAAGCAAGCAACATGTGGCCTCCCCCTGTCCCCCATGAAAACATTCCTAAAAGATCATTAGAATGTTTCTAGTTAGAGGAAGCTCTGGAAATGAGGTTTACTCTCTCCTGGAAGATCAAAGGGGACCCTTCACCCAGAAAACTCCTGAGACTTGACTGTCAGAACTCTGGTTCTTCCCTCTCCGGAAATAGTCCTAGATAACACCCCACCCCTACCCTGTTCTCACCCTGCCTCTTGCCTGTTCATCTCCCTTTCCATCAGGGGAAAGAAAGCAAGTCAAGAAGGTTATTATCCCTGCCACAAGCAGGGTGGTTCAAGGTTTTGGCAACTACAAACCAGAATTCAGATAAGATTTTTTCAATTCTTTACTCAATTACTTACTATCTGTGCTTGACCATAAATTTGAAATGTAGATACATCCTATCTCTCAGGTTTTCAACTGCAAAGAAAACCAGGTCCTTATCTGCTACAAACATTACAATCTTAGTCTGGCTAAGTAAGAGTAAAAAGCAAAGACGTCACTTGAGGACTAAGGTGTGCCTGACCCAAGCCATGGTATTTTCAATCGCCTCCTGCAAAGCTGGACAATCAATAAGGAAGAACTGATGCCTCTGAATTACAGTGTTGGCAAAGAATACTGAATGTACCATGGACTGCCAGAAGAACAAACAAATCTGTCTTTGAAGAAGTATAGCCAGAATGCTCCTTAGATGCAAGGATGGCAAGACTTCATCTCACATTAGACATGTTTATCAGAAGGAATCAGTCCCTGGAGAAGGACATCATGGTTGGTAAAGTAGAGGGTCAGCGAAAAAGAGGAAGATCCTCAACAAGATGGACTGACATAGTGGCTATAGCAACGGGCTCAAACATAGCAACGATTGTGAGGATGGCGCAGGGCTGGGCAATGTTTCATTCTGTTGTACATGGGGTCGCTATGAGTCTGAACCAACTTGATGGCACCTAACAACAATAACAAGTAAGACGGTCCCTGGCCTTATCATTCTTCCCTGCTCTGACCCACAGCTCCACAGCCACAAGTGCCAGCTTGATAAGCTTCTTGCCTCTCCAGGAACACTAAGAGGTCTATTCAAGGCATTCTGCTAGCTTTTAAAAGCCTCAGGCAGCCCTTTCTCACCCTGGACTCCAAGGGAGGGAATGACACAGGAAGAATGGTTGAATGAGTTACAGGATTATAGAACCGTTTGGATCTGAGGGTGAGGCCAGCAGACAGGAATGAAACTTTTACCATGTGAGGTGGAACTTTCAGACATGAGGAAGAAAGCTGGTTAACCTTTAGACGGGTGAGTAACTGACAATGAAAGCCTCTACCTTGCTGTTTCTTAATTTATCACAGTCCATATAACATCACTCAGATAAAAACAGAGGATATAAAATTATAGTAATTACAATTTATTAATTATAATATCTCGATGATTTAATGCACATACATATAGACTAAAAATAGTAATCTGAGGTTAGTGGTTGGGATTAACTTGGCACAGGCTAAATTAATGGTCTTTTTTTTTGTATTTTCTAGGTTTTCCATAAGGAACATACATTACTCTTTTTTTTTAAATGTGGTAAAACATATAAAAATTTGCTGTTTCAACCAGTTTTAAGTGTACAATTCACCATGCTGTGCAACCACCACCATGATTCATTTCCAAAAAAAAAAAAAAAAATTATTTTATCACCCCAAACAGAAACCTAGTACCCCTTAGGCAATAACTACCTGTTCCCCCCTCCCCTCACTTCTTCCTGACACTACCCGTAGCACCAACCACATCCCTTTCCTTTAGTGTAAATGGTAACTCTATCATTTTATATATAAAGTTTATTTTTCCCAAAGTAACTGACATTATCTTGGCATTAAAGTAAAGCCCATCTGTTGTTTTGCTGTTCCCTGTCTTGTAAGGCACAGAACTAACAAAGCCTAAACAGTTTTCTATTAGAAAGAGACTGGGAAGGGAAAAAAAAACAAACTCTTAATCTAAAGCTGAAACTGGAACAAACTGGCAGATGAAATCTAATCATCCCTTGGTAACCAAACATAAACTATTGTCGCGTGCATTTCCTGTTCCAGATATTTCATATAAGTAGAATCAGATAGTATTTGTCCTGTGAGTCTGACTTCACTCAGCCTAATGGTTTCAAGGATCATCTACAGCATGTATCAGAACTTCATTTCTCTTTATGGTTGAATAATATTCCATTGTATGGATATACTACATTTTGCTTATTCATTCATCTGTTGATGGACAATTGGATTGTTTCCACCGTCTGGCTACTGTGAATAATGCTGCAATGAACATTAATGGATATCACTCTTATAATTAAAAAAATAAGCATTAAAAAATGTGGTCCCAAAGTGTTCTCAAGAGAATCTATGACATTTTTCGTGTTTGTGGATCAATTTCTGTTTTTGTTTTCAGAAATTGAGAGTATGGAGTTAGACAAGCTTAGGTTTGAATTCAATCTCTGCCACTTAACTAGCTATCTAATCTTGAGTAACTTCATTAACTCCCCATCAGCCTCATTTTCCTCTTTGTTAATTGGGACTGATAATAGTACCATCACCTCATAGGGATGTTGAAGTTTAAATGAGATCTAGCTTGCTTAGCACAGTGCTTGTAATATCTTAAGTACTCAATGGGTTTTCATCAAGAGAATTAGCAGTCTACCATTAATTCTGGTGAGGTAGGTTTAGGAAACAGGTTAAATACAATTAAAACTTTTACTGAGCCCCTAACAAAGTACGTAGGACCAGCTACCACTGTACTCATGTCAACTGCTCAAGCTGAAACATTTAAAGACCATTGCGAACCCAGCCTCCAGTTTCTGTAAATGTCCATGGCATTCTAGGGCCATGTTCACAAGTGCCCCACCCAAGTCAGGAGAACCTCCCTCTCCCCTCCCCAATCCAGTCCATTAATGACCTTACCAATCATGACAAGGATGAAAAGCAGAGTGGCCACACCTCCTATTAAGTAGAACATAATGCTGATGTGGTAGGCAAGCTCATCCCGGTCTTCGATGTTGGGTACCAAAACAGGAGGGACCAAGAACCCAATTGCAATTCCAAGCTGTAGAAGACAGAGACAATCTGAGTTACCAGTGACCAAGAGAAGACAACACGATTTTAAAAAGAATCCTAATAAAAAGCGTACTCTGCCAATTCGAGTCCTTAAAATCCAAACAGCGGCCTTGTTTTACCCCCTCAAGAAAACAGAGAAACTACCAATGCCTGTGGAAAAAGACATAGTTGAGGCTCTCAATGCGAGCTGGCTCTTCTCTAGTTGTAAACTAATGAACCACAGTTCCTATAAACAACATCATGATAAACGGAGAAAACACTGAAGTTGTCAAGGACTTCATTTTATTTGGATCCACAATCAATGCGCACGGAGGCAGTAGTCAAGAAATCAAACGACGCACTGCACTGGGCAAATCTGCTGCAAATACCTCTTTAAAGTGTTAAAAAGCAAAGATGTCACTTTGAAGACTAAGGTGTGCCTGACCCAAGGCATGGTATTTTCAATTGCCTCATATGTATGAGAAAGCTGGACAATGAATAAGAAAGATCGAAGAAGAATTGACACCTTCGAATTATGATGTTGGCGAAGAATATTGACTAGACGATGGACTGCCAGAAGAACAAACAAATCTGTCTTGGAAGAAGTACAGCCAGAATGCTCCTTGGAAGTGAGGATGTCGAGACTTCATCTCACATACTTTGGACATGTTATCAGGAAGGACCAGTCCCTGGAGAAGGACATCATGCTTTGTAAAGTAGAGGGTCAGCGAAAAAGAGGAAGACCCTCAAGGAGATGGATTGACACAGTGGCTGCAACCATGGGCTGCAACAATGGGCTCAAGCATAGCAAGGATCATGAGCATGGTACAGGATTGGGCAGTGTTTCGTTCTGTTGCACGTGGGTCACTATGAGTCAGAACTGACTCAACGGCACCTAACAACAAGAAGATGGAGTGAAATAGAGTTAAATAGTTTTTTCTTGTGCCACTTAAATTCTTGATTTCACTGAGTCTCAATCTGGAATGGAGAGGCTGGCTGGGGAAAAGTTTTATACCTACCACCCAAAGAGCTTGCACTCAGGAAGAGTTCGAGGCCTAAAGTTGTTACCACATCTTGCAAATATGAAAGCTGAAATTCATTGTGTGACTAACCTAGCAACTTACATAGTATCTTTAGTGTGAAGTCACACACAACTGCATAAATTTAAACACACACACGAGCACATGCAAACTAACAGTAAACACCATAGACACACGCCCCAATAACTGAAAACAATTCATATCTAGACTGGAGTCCAAACTCCAGTAACCTGACAGATAACATGACTTAAGTATTTCAGAGGTCAGAAATGCTTTGATTCAGTACTGATTGGCTATCAGACACCTCCCAAAAGCCCTTTTCCCATACATGTTAAACCAAAATTCAAACCAACTGCCGTCAACTCAGTTCTGACTCATGGTGACCCCATGCGTGTCAGAGTAGAACTGTGCTCCATAGGGTTTTCAATGATTTTTAGAAGTAGATCACCAGGCCTTTCTTTCGAGGTGTCTCTGAGTGGACTTGAATCTCCAACCTTTCCATCAGCAGCCGAGTATATTCACCATTTGCACCACTCAGGGACTCCACCACACAGGATACCAAGGCAGAAATCAGAAAACGGCCTGAAAACTCAGGCAAACTTCAAATTCCAAAAGGAAGATGAGTAAGTCCTTTGTCTTGAGGTCTCATTTTTCCTTTATTGTACTTAAAAGGAACTGCAGGTAGAGCAGCACCTTGCTTCCAGTCCACACTACAGCACCATTCATCAGCTGCCAGTCTGCTGGCCTTCTCATTGGTTTTCCAGTCTGTCAATTACATCCACTCAGGATGGATACTAGTGGTTCTCAGCTCTGAAATATTCACTAAAAGCCATCAATAGGCTAGGTGAAGGGCTTTTCCAATTCACACCAGTACACAGTCAATGAACCAAACACATCTTTAAAGCATCTACTACGTGAAAAGTACTCTGCTAGCTATTTTAGGAGGAACTGAGAAATATAAGGCTGCCCTCAAGAATACAAACACCAAAATATCCCCTGAACTCTTCCTTAAACTAAAAAATAGGTTATCTTATTAGTAAAGAATGTTTGCCGTGAGCATTGTGCTCTTTTAAAGAATAATCTGTATAGAATCCAACTGACAACACCAACTTGAAAGATCAGATAGTAAGCTTAGGGGGCAGTCAGTTTATGCTAATAGAGGAAAAACAATTCAGAAGAGGAGGGTGAGGATGGCTGCACAACTGGAAGAATGTAATCAATGTCACTGAACTGTACATGTAGAAATGGTTGAATTGGTGTTATGCTTTGCTGTGTATATTTTCAACAACAACAAAAAATGTAAAAGCTTAAGCACAAGATGAGGAAAGATATGGAGAATCTGGGTTCCAGACTAGTGCTATTACTGTGTATTTCTCCCCAAAAAGCCAAGGTATGAATATCACAAGACAAATTTGGGGATAGGGTTTTACTCACTTTGGTTATGCAAATAATAATAATTGTGAAACTGGCGGGGGGGGGGTGTTAAACACACAACTATCATTTTACCCAGCCTAGGTATTTACCCAAAATTAATAAAAAGCACATCTCCATATAAAGATTTGTACATAAATGTTCAAAGCAGCTGTTTTTATAATATCCCCAAACTAGAAACAATCCAAATATTAATTAGTGAATGGATAAACAAAATTTGGTATTTCCCTGCAATGGAATACAACTTAGTAACAAAAAGGAATTAACTAATGATGACATAAGTCAGTCACAAAAGGAAAAATATTGTATGATCTCACTCATATGAAATATCTATAATACGCAAATGTAGAGACCAAAGTTTACTAGGGACAGGAAGGAAGGAGAAAAGAGAAGCCATTATTCAGGAAGCATTGAGTTTCTGCTTATGGTGATAGAAAATTTGGCAATGGATATTGGTGATGGTTGTACAACATGATTAATGTAATTGATGTCATTAATTGCACACACAAAAAATGTTAAATTGGAAAATGTTGTGTTATATACATATTTGTAGGAATGAATTATTACCTATTAAAAATAATACAAACAATATCACAAATTGTTGGTTGAAATTATAGAATGATATAGTTCAAAAGTTCCTTTGCAATTCTCTATTACAAACCAATTAGGAGCCCTGGATTACAAACCAATTAGTGCACTTAAGTTCTAAAGGTTAAGTGACTTGTTCAGGGTCACAGAGAGTTCTAATAGAGTTGGGCTGAGAAAACAGATCTCCTAGCTCGTCAGGCCAGTGCCTCCTCCACATGGCCTGGCAGCAGGGTCCTCCAGGGCTAAGAACCTTGAGGAAGACCCGAGTGAGCAGGCATCTCCTAAAGGGAAGCATATTTCATGTTCTCAGAGATGTATTTATCTGTTCCTCGATCGCACTGACTTGCTTACCTCCAAGACTTTGATTGAGGTTAAAAACCAGCCACAAACAAACGGACAATACAACCTTCTTCATAGCTGGGAACCTGGGCCCACTCCAGGTCATGTCGGGCCCCCTACGCACTCTGGAGCTGGTGATCGGAAGTTCAGTAGAATCCTGGAGAGAGCAGTCCGGGAGCCCAGCCAGTGAGGCTCTTCCCAACAGTGTTCCTTACAGAGCCCACTCACAGAACAAGAAGCAGCACCTTCTCCATCCACACACCCAGTAGTGGCCCTGGCTCACCATGCAGGGAAGTTAGGCCAGAGTTACTGGAAGGGCTCCTCCTGGGTCACGTTTGTGAGAGTGAGGGAAGATAAGGGAAATTACCCAAGGCTATGTGATTCTTTCATTCCCAAAATGAAAATACAAACCCTGAGACCTTGATACAGGACAACCTAATCCCCAAGAACGTCCTGCCTCAAGAAATAAATCTTCTCAGCTGGTCCTACACTACATGCCTCATCCCTCCGTTCTCTGTGTCTATATACTAAGCCTGAGTGAGTGCTGTTCCACCCCAATTCCAGCATGGAAGCCTTCTCCAGCCACCAGTATGAAGCAGCGGGATGAAGGGACCCATAGTAACCCCAGCCAAAAAGCAACACTGTCTCACAGTAACCTTTCTCAAGGAGGAAATTGGCTTTGGAGGTACTTTCACGCCTAACACAGAAACTAGAAACGCATAGGGATTGGTTCTTAATGCAAAGTTCTGGTTCTTTTGTTTTTTCGAGACATATTTTTTTCCTGCTTCTTGAGAGCAGTGTTCAGTGAGATGCATGGCCATATTCCCAGTTGCTAGTTTCCAGGTCTGCACCATAGGGTTGTTCTTGCTGGCTGCCGTCAAGTCAGCCCCCAATTCATGGTGACCCCATGCACAATGGGATCTGACCATTGGGATCCATAGGCTTTCACTGGCTGATTTTCGGAAGAAGGTCACCAGCCCTTTCTTCCTAGTCCATCTTAGTCTGGAAGCTCCGTTGAAACCTGTTCTACATCATAGCAACATGTAAGCCTCCACTGACAGACAGGTGATGGCTGTGCCTGAGGTGCACTGGCTGAGAATCAAACCTGGGTGTCCCGCATGGAAAGTGAGAACTCGATCCCTGAACCACCATGGCCCTCTGTCCCATAGCAGGTACTCAATAATGTTGGCTGGCTGGCTGGCTAGACAGATGGATGGATAGAGGTGAAAAAAAATTGTCTATACAAAACTGGGAATATCAACAGGTCTGCCAATTGGAGTTTAAGGTTCTTTCAACAAACCACATTGTCCGCAAAGTGGGAAGAAGAAGAAAAACTGTGTATGGGAGAGTAGGGAGAAGGTAGGCTGGCCTAACATTTCTTGGGATCTACTGGGTACTGGGTATTTAATATACTTTATCTTTTTTATTTAACCCTAATAACTTTACAATAAAGAAAAAAAATGAGAAAAATGGATGTTTAGCACCTTGCTCAAGGTCACAGACCTAGCTAGCAGAACAGCCAAGATCCTGAGCCAGTTCTGTGTCTCCAGAACCCAGGCTCACCTTGCTGCCTCCCGTGAAATGTCGCTTTGATGGAGTCAACACACAGATGTCTACATTTTCACCCAAATGAATTCTACTGCACAGTTGAAGGACACCTCTAGGGTAAAAGTCAGAGACCTGGGGCCCAAGTCAGTGCAAGATTAATTCAAAGAGATGGGAGGATGTTCCTTCGTCAGGGTGGGGCTGGCAAAAAGCCAGAGATCCAGGCTGAATGACTGAAAAGCACAGCTAACTCGTTTTGACTTGGCTTAAGTTCCCACATTTGTTCTGATTTTATCATTGTCAGCAAAACATAAAATGGATCACCATAAGCTATCAAACCAAGCCACAGTCTTATCTTTTAAGGAACTTTTTAAAAATTGCTTTTAAAG